TGTTAGAGCGCCTGCCTAGTAAGTGTGAGGCCCTGAGTTCAAACCCCAGTACCGCCAAAAATAAGAAAGATAGTGAAAGGATGGAGGAATGAAAGCCTGGTTCACAGCCGACTTGGGAAATGTCCCAGGCTCTGTGCTTCCATCACTTGCATTTGTGTCAAGGTTCACTGGTGAAAACTAGAGAACATATTTAGAAAGTCTGTAGCTGCCCAGATTTTGGAAGAACAGCAAGATGTTTACAAAATAAAACTGAAAAAAAATTCTAGACATTAGATTGAACAAGACTAAACATAAAGGAAGGAAGTGGTAATGAAGATATTTTTAGAATTTCCTCTTATTTAAAAATATATTAGGGGGTTACATTTAGGTCAATTAAGCTAAATATTATATTACTAAAAATGTTGTTTCCTTAGCTGGGCACTGTGGAGAAAAGCATTTCCTCGTGGAATTGGGAAGAGAGTGACTGTGAAAGATTTGTATCTGAGGATCTTGTATCTCGGGGGAACTTTAAATGGTAGAAATGTATGTATAAGTTTTTTCAAGTTCAAAAGAACTTTCATTCATTTGTTCATTAAAAACAAACAAACAAACAAACAAAACACTGAAAGGGGTCAGGTATGGTGACTTGTATCTATAATCCCAGTTACACAGGAGGTGGAGGTAGGAGGATCATAGTCTGAGGTTGGCTTGGGTAAAAGCGTGAGACCCTAGCTGAAAGACAAACTAAAAGTAAATGGACTGGAGGTATGACTCAAATGGTAGAGGCCTGCTTAGCAAACACAAAGCCTTGAATTCAGTCCCCAGTACCATAAAACAAACGACCCCCCCCACCGAACGGCTACTGTAGACTAGGCACCATGAGGTATTCTAGGCCTTTATTATTCCTTTTCTTAAGTGTGAGATGTGTTTTCTGTCTGTTAGGAGTGCAGGGTCAAGTGTAGAGATTTACCATTAGACACAGCTTTCTTTCAAAAATAAAATTCTAAAAAATTGGCCAACATTAATAATTATACATTTCATAACGAAGAAAGATTTCTTTCTTCTTTAAGACCATAATGGGGGTGAATATGATTGAAGTATTTTATACACATGTATGAAAACAGAATAATGATATCTGTTAAAAACTGATTTAAGGGGAGGGGAAGAAGGAGTTAAGAAAGAGTAATAGAAGGGTGAATTAGATCCAAGTATATATATACATTCATGGAAATATCACAACGAAACCCCTTTGTACAATTAATATACACTAATAAATATTCAGAAATTTTAAAGAAAGTAAATACAAATTTGAAAAAATGAGAGTAAAAGCAATTATTGGTAAGAAAGGGAAAAAATATAATGGAAGGGCTGGAGTTGTAGCTTAGTGGTAGAGTGCTGCTTTACATGTGTGAGGCCCTGGGTTGTATCCTCTGCATTGCAAAACCCAAAAAACAATATAATGGGAACGTTAACTACAGTAGACATCACCCCATCTGGCCATGCATGGCTGGAGGTAAGGTGCAGTTTCTCCTCTGGTCTTTAAGCATAGTCTCTCCACTCCTTTTCTTGTTGCCCTATTCCTAGCCTGGCAGTGCCTTTGGGAACCAGTCAGCTCATGGTAGTAGTTGGTAAGGAATTGGTCCCAGAATAAAAAAAGACCACACATAAGTTGTACTACACCCAGTTTATTAAGCCCAATTGTAGGAATATTATAAAATTTAAATAATAGAAGTTTAATTCCCTAGTAGTAAGAATGAATAATTATTGGTTTTAGGGAAGTTAGTCTAAATATGGAAGATGATTTGAAAGAGAGCATCTTTCAAATATACATTAGTGACAAAAGAATTATTCCATGCAGAAGAAGGGTGGGGTGAGTTCTCCCCTTGTTCTCTGAGTGTAAATGTTTGGAAACTTGGAACTGAGTTAAGTGCCTTGCAGTTAAGTGTTTGAGCTCAGTGCAGCTTGGTAATTTCAAAGTCCCACGGGCAAGGTTAGAGTAACTTTATGGAGTTCTCATGTCATAGAGACATGCAAGACTAGCATATTTCCCATCATAGCCCCCATCCAGCTGCCATAGCTCTTGGCTTTGAAGGAAACCCATTTGGAGGGTTTGTGTGTGGTTTGACAATAGGTCTGTGACCTATTGGGCAGGTTATGGCGTAAAAATGCTGCTTAAGGACTTCCTTTGCTAGAATCTAATGCAATTCTATGGAAGGCTATGAATTTAAAAGATGACACCTATTTTTCCCCAAAGTAGAGTTTTAGAAGAGAAAAGACAGAAGAGGAGGGAGGCAGTATAAAAAACATTATAGCAAATTTGTCTATTTAAAAAATATTGCTCTGAATAAATGCTCCATGAGCCTTCCTTGCTAAGGTAACTATTACTAGCAAAAGTCCATTCAGAATTAGGAAAGTATGACAAGTGTGAAGTGATGGTGAAATCGCTCCCAGCTGGCGCCCAGGGCAGGAGGACGTTGGCTCCTTGGGCAATCCAGCTGAGGAAGCTCACAAGGATTGTTGGCTGGTGCATTTAGCCCTCGTAACGGGCATAATCACGTGCATGGTAGAAATCTCCCAGGTCGTGACAGCTGCACAGCACATCTGTTGGAGATCCCAAAATCAGTTTCATAAGCATTGTTGGGAAAGATTCAGCTTGGCACCAGTTCTGTGAAAAGAGCCCTGGGAGTTTGAATTGAGTGCAAGTTTCATATGCTGTAAGGTTAACGAAATGTTAGACTTTATCCCTGGCATGAAAATATCTAGTCCTATTACAAGCTGAGCTGTTCAGACCACACTTGAAGTATCATAATAAGTTCTCCTCATTTTAACAAAGGTATTAAAAATTAGGCTTTGTTGCTAATTCAGGTAGTCAAGAATAACCTAGAAATTGTGTCATGGGAATGGTTAAAGGACCTGGAGGTGACAAGTGTCCAGTTTAACTGAAAGAAGAAAAAACGAAGGAGGAAGATGTTATGGTTCTCCAGATATTCAAAAGGCTTGACTGACATGGGTCTTGCAGAATGGGTGTCTGAGGTCTATGTCTGATAAATAAGCAAGCAAATGAAAAGAGAGAGAGTGTGTGTGTGTGTTGCATGTGTGTATGAGTGTGTGATTGTGTTGCACGTGCATATGAGTGTGTAAGTGTGTGTGAGCATGTGTATTGTGTACGTGTGTTGTTTTCCAGGGAAGAACGATGAAAATCACAGGGAGAAAGGGAGATTTAAAACTCCATAAAAGTGACTTGTAACATCAGTGCTGTCAGAGGAGGGACAGGGTATTTTAATAGATTAGGAGAGATTTTGTGAAGAGGCTGAAGTCTCGATTAGAGATTTATATGGATTTATAAACGAGTGCTCAACCAGAGTGTTACAGAGGATAAAATGGAAGGCTTCTGAGTCAGACAGACCTCCTGAAGGCAAAAATATCTTTGCCATTTAGCTGTGCAACATTAGGCAAGATACCTACCTATTCACTTTTCCATCCATTAAGTGGGATAGTCAACCCCTGTTAAAATGCTTCTTTGAGGATCAGCTGATATTGTAAAGGCCTAGAAACTGAGTGGGCCCTGGGTAGATGTTATTGACTCTCCCTAGATGAGGTGACATCCAAGTAGCAGAAGAGTGAGTTTAGAAATCCCTGTAAGGCGGCACTTAGGAAGTCTGTGAGACTGACTTCATCATTTGGTTTCGTCAGAGCCACATCTGGGCCTGCACTGGGCGGCTGCTTAGCACACATGGGCACATTTGTTGGCTTTATGGCGAACACCGGATAAATCATGGCCCTGGGCACTCTAGAAACATGCCAACAGAGAGAGTGAGTATGGCAGAAGGAAAGTAGGCTTTGGGATCAAACAGAGTTCAAACCTCATCTCTCCACTGGGCCGAGTTACTTCATCTGTGTGAGCTGCTTTTTCTCATCTAAAGCAATAGCTGCCTCCTGGGAAGGGGGAAAGGAGAGAGAAAGGGAGGGAGGGAGGAGCACATGCAAAGAATTGGGTGTTCTTTTCTCAGTGGGATCCTCTTATCAATACAAGGAGGCAAATAATGTGCTCTACATGTGTGCAAAGAAGAAGCAAGATTCAGAAAGTCAAGTGATTTGCCCAAAGGACTGGGAGTGTAGCTCAATGGTAGAGCACTTTCTTAGCTTGCACAAGGCCCTGGGTTCCATCCCCAGCTTCTGGGAAGGAAGGAAGGAAAAGAAAAACAGATTTGCCCAAGGGAAGAGCAGACTTGGTATTGGCTCAAATTCTTGACTTCAAGGTCCATCGTCTTTCTCTTCTAAATCATGATGGAAACACTTTGAGTGCCTACTGTATGCCAGACACTATGCTAAGCTTTCCCAGGTGTCACCTCATTGACTGTTTAGGCCCCACATGGAGATGGTTGTCCTTCTACAAGTCTGTTTGGAACATTTGCAGAGTGAACTTTCCTAGGTAGTTGGAGAAAGTCATTCTGCACTGGACTATAGTGCTCTTTGACTTCTGGCTTTGGGAGGGACATACAAGTGAGGGGGCAGACAGATCTATCCAGACAGTCATATCAGCTCCTTAGCCTTGACCGTGCTGAAGGGACGAATGTTGTGTATCTTGAACAGTGGACACTGTCAGCTGTTAGATGGGAGAGCCCGTGGCTGCTGGTCCTCAGGTCTTCCTTGGTTCATAGACTTGTCCTGTTGGTTTGCAACAGTGTTTTAAAATGAATTCCTTGCAGATATTTGCATCATGAATTTTCATGTAAAAATCCTATCATTTAAAATTTTTGGCCTTCTTAAGGAGTGAGGCAGTCTGGCAACCTTGAACTCATGTTCTCCTAAAGACCAGTTCCTCAGCTCTGTGTAATAGCTTCCGCAGGTAGAGCAGGAGTCTTCACGGTCCCCACACAATCCATTTCACAGGCTTTCTTTCCTCCACTGGGTGTTTTAAGTTAATGGATGCATAATTGGTATTAATAACAATAAATCACCCAGGGGGATGGTCCTGGGTTGGTTTTTTTCTGATGATGTCTTTCTTCCCTCCTCCCCAGTCTGTGACTGCAATGGGAAGTCCAACCAATGCATCTTCGAGCAGGAGCTTCACCGACAGACAGGCAATGGGTTCCGCTGCCTCAACTGCAAAGACAACACCGAGGGCATCCGCTGTGAGAGGTGCCGGGAGGGATTTTACAGGCACCGAGACAGAGACCGCTGCCTGCCCTGCAATTGTCACTCCAAAGGTAGCTGGGGAAAGGGGACAGAAAGGGAGAGGAAAGGATGGAGGGGAGAAAGGCAAGAAGGGGGAGAAAAGAGAAGGGAGAAGAACAGGCAGGCCATAGTCAACCTCAGTGACAACTGGGAATCCACCAGACAGTGGTCTTTTTAGCAATTTCAGGCTCAAAGGAAATTGTTTCTCCTAACTTGGCATTGGTGGAAGCAGCTGGGGCAATTAGAGTCTGTTGGTATGAATTCTAGTACTGAGAGTCTCTTTTTCTTAGCACTGAGGATTGAACCCAGGGCTGGTGCATGCTAGGCGAGTGTTCTATTGTTGTACTACACCCCGACCCCTTTGCATTTTTTTCTTGAGGCAGAATTTCACTAAATTGACCAGGTTAACCTCAAACTTATGATCCTCCTGCCTCAGCCTCCCAAGTAGCTGCAGTTATAGTCGTGACCCCCACATCCAAAAGAGTTACAATATTAACTTTTCCAGGCACAACAGTCTGACTCAGGGACAAAGAAATCTTATTCTCTTCTAAATATAGTTCCTCAAATCCATAACCATCCCTTTGACCAGCCTCTTGAAAAAAATAAATAAAAGGATTAGAAAGACCCGTTTCTGGTCCTTTGCTAGGTGTTTGCAATATGAAGTGGTGCCAAGAAAAGAGACAGACAAGTAAGTAGGAAGAGCCACTCACGGGGTTGTTAATAACAAGAGAAAATAAAATAACTAAAAGGAATGACCAATAGCTACTGTGGTAATGGATTCTAGGAAGCTAGTTGCGCTCGCTCTCTCTCTCTCTCTCTCTCTTTTGTGGTACTGGGGCACGATCTCAGGGTCTACACCTTGAGCCACTCCACCAGCCCTTTTTGTGTTAGGTATTTGCAAGATAGGGTCTTACAAACTATTTGCCTGGACTGGCTTCGGACTGCAAGCCTCCTGATCTCTGCCTCCTGAGTAGCCAGCATTACAGGCATGAGCCACTGGTGCCTGGCAAGTTGTGTCCCAAGAGCCAGTGCTAGATTGACCCAGAATTTAGGTGTCTGTTGTGCACAGAATGCACACTGCTGTAATCATAACCAGAGAGTAAAAACACGTTCATACATATAAATATAGAGAGGCAGGTAGTTCTGTAAATAAGCTGAGATTGTTTTGAGTACCTTACTCATCTAATATCTTCCTTGGCTTTATCTACTTCTCTTTGTTAGAAAGAGTTTAATAGCATAATACATATGGCCGTGCAACAGAGGATTAGCTAATCCACTTAAGGAGATGAACTTATTGCATGATGGTAACTCAGTGTGGCCTCGTGGAACCAATTCATAGCTGCAGCTGAATGGATCTAAAACTGGGCGGGTTTTGGTACAGATGAAATGAGTTGCAGGTAGAGTGGGTCAGGAGTCTTACAGAAATCCAGGGTGACAAAGCGATGTAGACCTGTGTCCCAAGTTCACAATGTGGTGTGAATCAGATTTGTTTAGCTTTATGGTGTAGAATCAGCATCCAGAATCTTTCAGGTTTAGCAGTTCTTCTTGTGACTCAAAACACTTCATGAAAAAGTAAAAGAAAAACCATTCCATTTTAATAGGCATTTCATCTCTCCAAGGAGCCAGGTCCCCATAGAAGCTGCGGCTTCACTGTGCGTCACTGGAGTTGGGTCATCCCAGCAAAGTGGTTGATGAGGATATAATTAGAGCCTCAGTTGGCTCCGCTGGAGAAAGTTATAATTGCAGAGGAGACAAGGAAGCTGCTGCTGGGGAAAGAGAGAGGGTGAGAAAGGGGTGGCCAGACTCTTCTCTCAGTGTGTCCTTCCCTGTGTGCCCAGCAGTGGGGAGCCTGCCTCTTCCTGTTTCTATGGAGGACAGGCACCTGGACTCCATGTGAGCAGCCTGGTAGGAAGCAGTAAAGTCCAAGGACGCTTGATATCTGACGTGATAGCTAATGTGTTACTTGCTGGCTCTGACAGGGCCTTTCACTAGGTGCTTTTAGTTCAGTGATTAACCTTCACAAAATAACCTTCCAAAGAGGGTGCTAGTTTTTTCCATCTTGTAAGCAAGAGAGGCTTAGGAAGGAAAGAAACCCATCCAAGGTTACAGAGGTAAGGGGCAGAGCAAGGGTTGGAGCCCTGGTTTGCTGACATCAAAGAGATCATAATGTAGAGGATAGTGGTGGGTTTTGGAGCCAGACAACTGGGTTCTCTTGGAGCGCAGGCCTCTCCCTCTCTGCTCCAGTATCCTCATCTGAGATATCCTCACTGTGCTGTGTGCACACCACAGTGTCACACAAAAAAATAATGATGTTTGTTAAGCAATTGGCAGACAGCTCAGTAAGTTGCATTCCATTGTGGTTGTTTTTCTTATTGAGATGGAGGTCAAGATACAAATCTCCTGGAACAAATTTGCCTTTCATTACTTATATTGTGGCATGGAAGAAGCCTTGTAGAGGCTATTATATATAGTCTAACACTATTTGTTACCCTCCTGAGTTGGCAATATATGTACATATATATGTTTTTGTTTCTTCGCTGGCCTTGAACTCACAATCCTGCTTCAGCCTCCTAAGTGCTGGGATACAGACACAATACCATGTTTGGCAGGCAGTGAATATTTAAAAAAATTTTTTTAAATAGGCAAGCTGACCTAGAAAGTTAACCAGTGGTCTGATGTTTCCCAGCAAGTGACTACAAGAGCTAAAGCTGTCACCTGACCTGAGAAGAGTTTCCTCTTACTCCCTCCATACAAAAGAAAAAAATCAGAGTGTTGTCCTTTTATTCCCAAAAGGAGACAACTAGGTGTCTGAGGAAAGCTTCGTGGATATTATTTCCTTGCACTATATTTTTCTGAAACATTTTCATTTACGCTGTTATCTTTGGATCTTCTGACAGCCTGACAGGCTGGGTGCTTTAACATGCCCATGTGCCCATTGTAGAGGTAAAGAAACTGAGGCTTCCAGGTCCAGGCTGCCCAGGCTAAGCAACATATTAGTGGCAGATACAGTTCCCACCACCTGCTGTCCTTAACTACACATCACTACACAGACCACTAAACCAGCAGCACAAATTTAACTTCCAGCGTGATTTCTCAGCCTCTCAGTCAGCAGCAGGGTAATTTTCACTTTCAAGTAGTACCTTGAGGGAAATTGTGCAGTTTCAAATGCACAAAAACGTGTGTTTCTAAAAAGTGCTCATTTCATGTACAGCAAATGAAGCCAACTGCATAAATAACCCCCAACATGGTCATGGATCTTGGGCTTCATGTGAATTTCTCATAAACTTGCTGAATTTTCGGTGATGACTTTGTGGGCTCAGCCACTGGGCTGAATTGTCATCAGTTTTTCCCACTCTGTATTTAAGGCCTGCTAACCTTGGAAATTCACTGTGTAATGTGTATTTTCCCCACTTGTGACACCCAAATTCGTGAGGTATGTGTGGACACCAGTGATATTGACTTATTCTCTTAGTTTTATTGCTTTTTTAACCTATCTATGACTCTGGCAGTTTATTATTCAGCTTACAACATTTGAGTTATTATTTAAAATGTGTCTTTAAATACAAGTATGTACAAATACATATTTAAAGGATTTTCCAAAGGCAACAAACTCTTTTGGCTTAAATTTTAAATATTAATCTTTTTTGGTGCCATTGGAGATTGAACTCAGTGTCTCACACTTGCCAGGCAAGCTCTACCACTGGGCCATTCCCCTGGTCCTTTTGCCTTTAGTTTGTTTTTCTAGTAGGGTCTCACATTTTTGCTGGGGGCTGGCCTCAGACCAGAAATCCTCTTATCTCTGCTTCTGAACAGAATTCTCTTATCTCTTTCTTGGAACAGAATTCTCCCATCTCTGCCACTTCTGGGATTACAGGCATGGACCACCATGCCTGGCTAAATACTGATCATTTAAAAAACCTTCCTGATTCTAAAATGCATGTAGACTATGTCTATAAAAGCCCTTACAATGTTTGTTGGGATACCAACTTGAAACAGGAAGCTACTGTTCATTTATTCTTTAAACCCAAATGCTTATAGTCTCTAAGGCTAGCTCATGATATAGAAATTGGGACAGTGAGGGAAGTTTTGGAATATGAAATAAATTAGTTGTGCTTGCAGTAAGAGCCTGTGAACATTTCCATGTCATCTTTGTAAAGCCTGAGATCTCAGGGATAAAGTATTAGCATACCTGCGTGTTAGTGTAGTATAAATGACATTTTGAGCACTTGTTACATGTGTGACACCCAGTTAGGAATTTTATATAATGTTCACTCATAGTTTTACAGTAGCCCTCCAAGGTACATGTGGTTATCTTCATTTTAAAGAAGTGGTAAATAAGCAGCTTGCCCGAGGACACACAGCCAGGGGTGCCAGAGCTGGTATTTGAATCGAGATCTGTTGGACTTCAAAACCTAGCCTCATGTCTTATCCCCCAGCTTCTTCTACAGCAGCATTCTGTAGCTAGCATCCTGCAGAACGCTGTGTCCTTCAAGATTATAATAGATATGTCTGTCAAGCAGTGTTTAGAAACATGGCATTAGAAAGTTAAACAAGCTTCTTGCAGCTGAAGGTTGCAAATCTGCAAAATTTAGTGTATACCATTTCTCAAACTCTTGAACACTGAATAGTTCTTTTCAGGGGATGACAGTTAGTTTCTCTGAGAAGAATGTTCTGTAAAATGCCATATGGAGTTATTGGGTCAAACCCAGAACAAAGTACAGTCTTCCCCGCCTTACAGGAATAATTTATGTCTGAAAACTACTGCAGGGAGAGTTTTCTGAAGTGGAAATCACAATCACCATGAATCTAAATGAGAAACTAATGTGTTTCAGGGTCCCCATCCACTTACATTAAAAGCAAGCAGACTCCATTACAGAGGGATTTCCATTCGGTACTTTTCAAAGCATAATTCTTCTTAGTCCGTCTGCTGACCATTCATAGAGCAGTGTGTGTGGTGGTGTCCAAACTTCAGACCCCACAGCCTGTCTTCATTCTTGTCTCGTTGCCTCAGGCATTGAAAACTCTCCACTTGCCTTCTCCCTGGGCCCTCCTCAGTCCTCTCCTCCCTTGGCTTCCACTGCTCGGCTCAACTTTGCCCTGGTCTGGTGGTCTGGTCACCCTCTCCCTTAATCAGTGGGCCTCCATTCCGGTCCTTGGCCTTTCCCTTGTCCCCCTATGAACTCCCAGAGAGAGCTCATGCCTGCTGTCACTTCCTGTTCAGCCTTTGTGCTGAGGGCTCCTCGTCTTCATCTCAGCCTCTTTGTTGTGCTGCAAAAGTAAACTCATTGCCTTCTTTGGATGACTCATCCTAAGGCCTGGTGCCTCCTTTGCCATAGTATCATGGTCCAGATGGTTATTGCTCTGGGACTTGGGTGTCCTTTCTCCCTCATCATCCATAAGCCAAGAGGCTCCCTGCATCCACAATGGCTTTCACAGGCCTATTTTGCCCATACTCCATGGATCCCACAATTGTGGCCTGGGAAGACCCAGGCTGGCCTTCCATCTCTAAGCCACTACACAGTGCTCTGCAGCTGTCTTTCTAAACGGCAGATCTGATCTTGTCACTGCCTGACTGCACCTGAGAGTCCTCTGTTCTCCAGAAATGGATCGTTATCAAACTAGACGCTTTTTTTTTAAATCTTTTTTTCTTTTATTATTCATATGTGCATACAAGGCTTGGGTCATTTCTCCCCCCTGCCCCCACCCCCTCCCTTACCACCCAGTCTGCCCCCTCCCTCTCCCCCCTACCCCCTCAATACCCAGCAGAAACTATTTTGCCCTTATTTCTAATTTTGTTGTAGAGAGAGTATAAGCAATAATAGGAAGGAACAAGGGTTTTTGCTGGTTGAGATAAGGATAGCTATACAGGGCATTGACTCACATTGATTTCCTGTGCGTGGGTGTTACCTTTTAGGTTAATTATTTTTGATCTAACCTTTTCTCTAGTACCTGTTCCCCTTTTCCTATTGGCCTCAGTTGCTTTTAAGGTATCTGCTTTAGTTTCTCTGCGTTAAGGGCAACAAATGCCAGCTAATTTTTTAGGTGTCTTACCTATCCTCACCCCTCCCTTGTGTGCTCTCGCTTTTATCCTGTGCTGAAAGTCCAATCCCATTGTTGTGTTTGCCCTTGATCTAATGTCCACATATGAGGGAGAACATATGATTTTTGGTCTTTTGAGCCAGGCTAACCTCACTCAGAATGATGTTCTCCAATTCCATCCATTTACCAGCGAATGCTAACATTTCATTCTTCTTCATGGCTGTATAAAATTCCATTGTGTATAGATACCACATTTTCTTAATCCATTCGTCAGTGGTGGGGCATCTTGGCTGTTTCCATAACTTGGCTATTGTGAATAGTGCCGCAATAAACATGGGTTTATTGCAGGTGCCTCTGGAGTAACCTGTGTCACAGTCTTTTGGGTATATCCCCAAGAGTGGTATTGCTGGATCAAATGGTAGATCAATGTCTAGCTTTTTAAGTAGCCTCCAAAAACTAGACGCTTTTAATTCACTCTGAGATAGCATGAGCTAACATATATTAAGTGCCTGACTCAATGTCTCACATGTAGAAAGTGCTCAAAAAATGTCATTTGTACTATTATCATTGAGGGCTCCTTTGAGCTGTGCAAAGTTGACATGGAGATATTCACAGACTCACTGTGAATATGGCTAATTTATTTCATGTTCTAATCATCACATAAAATCCTTTATATAGGCAAGGAGGCAATGCCTTTATTGATTTGAATTCTATTTACTAGTGAATTAAAAGTCCACAGAAAGATAACAGATTAAACAAACAAATGTACAGATCGGTCAGTGTTCTCTTGGCTTTATAGATTATGGCTATCCTAATTATCACAAATATTTGAGATCTATAGATTATTTACAATTCTGCCAGTTGCAGGAAAATTATAAAATAACTGAGTTATATTTAGCTGGCCTTCCACCTCATCTGATCACTTCTCATCTCATCTAGCCACTTCCCACATCATCTTTTGGCCCTCTCTACATCTTTTACATATCCCCATCTTCTTCCTTAGCATACCACATTAATCCAGTGGATTTCTGGGCATCTTCTTTGTGTTGGACACTGCTGGGCCCTGGGATCCAGTAGGAAACATGAACAGAGACCATCAGAAGTAAAGCCAGGCTAAGGACTGGAACAGATGTTTTAGACAAGGAGTAAGAGAAGGGTTCTCTGGAGAAGTAATGCCTAATCTCACCTGCGTGCTATGAATGGGCCAACTAGGGCAAGTTTGAGAAAAAAGCATGTCAGGCTGAATCAGCAAGTATGAACTCCCTGAGGGAAGAAGCTTGGCACAGTCCAGGAACAGGGAGGGTGCTGCTGGCTAGGACTTAGTAACAGTTAAGAGATGTGGTAAGAGAGGTGGGGACTAGCAGGTGAGATATGGAGTTTGCATTTGCTTCTTCCTCCAGTGGGGCATCACCAGAGGGCTTCAACAAAATAAAATACCATGTGACTAGCCTTTTGAAATGAGCACTTTGCCTTCTATATGGAGACTGGAGCAGGTAGAGGTAAAAATGGAGGTGGAGGGTATGTGTGTGTGTGTGTGTGTGAGTATAGGCAGTGGAAGGCAGCATCTAGGTGAGACAAGATGTAAGATTCCCAATACTGTCCCTTAAAAGATGGCTTTTCCCTGCCTATGATAAAGAAGAGTGTTGTTCCCTTTCTGACAGAAACTCTGTCCCAGGAAGCTGACATGCTTATTCATGGGTTTTCTCCTCCTTGACTTCTCAAACACTTTGAGGACTTATTTTAAAAAGCATGAGCATGGATGTTGAGAGCTGGAGGATCATGGTTTGAGGCCACCACAAACAAAAAGTTCTAGAGACCCCCATCTCAAGCAGTAGTTGGGTGCTGTGGTGAGTGCCTGTCATCCCAAGTTACAATGGAAGCTGAGATTGGGAAGATCACAGTGCCAGGACAGTTTTGGCAAAAGAAGTTTAAGAGACCTCATCTCAATGGAAAAGGCTGAGCATGACAGTGAGTACCTGTCATCCCACAGATGACAGCAGGAAATCTAAAATAGGAGGATGGCAGTCCAGGCCAGCCTGGGTAAAAAATGAGACTTGTCTCCAAAATAACCAGAGCAAAATGGGCTGGAGGTGTGGCTCAAGCTGTAGAGCACCTGCCTAGCAAGTGCAAAGCCCTGAGCTCCACCCCCAGTACCACCAGAAAAAAAAAAAAAAAGGCACTGAGCTACGTACTCCCTAATAGCAAATCTGAGCAAATATGTAAATAAAATTGCCTTTATGAGAAATTTCATTTCTTTCTGTGAAGCAGATATCCTCAGGTGTCAAAATGTACACTGGGGGCCAAGTGTCCTGGTATACACCTGTAATCCCAGCTGTTTGGGAGGCAGAGCTAGGAGGATCCTGGTCTGAGGCCAGCCTGGGCAAAGACCCTATCTGAAAACAGACTGAAAGCAAAAGGACTGTGGTGTGGCTTGGGTAGTAGAGCACTTGCCTAGTAAGCACAAGGCCCTAAATTCAACCCCTGTGAAAAAACAAAACGTTCCCTGCTGGGTGGAAAGGGTAACCCTCAGGGCAGGAAAAGGCAGCAGTGGTGCATAGGTGGTGTAGATTACTTAGTGTGGGTTAAGCTCCCATAAACTAAGCTCCTTCTTAATGCCTTCTAAGCTAAGCATTTCCTGCTCTTTTCCCCTTCCTTGTGGGTTACAGGTTCTCTCAGTGTTCGATGTGACAACTCTGGGCGCTGCAGCTGTAAGCCAGGCGTGACAGGAGACAGGTGTGACCGATGTCTGCCGGGCTTCCACACATTCACTGATGCTGGCTGCACCCAAGACCAGAGAAGAATGTGAGCCTCCATGTCCACCGCTGCCATTACTCTGGGAGCAGCAACTGTACTAACATAGGCTAACCCTTTCATTTACTGAGCTCCTACGGTGTGTCAAATACCACTTCCAGCTGTCTGACGTAATCCTTACGCCAGCCCTAGGGAACTGGAATTGTCATTGTCCTTTTGTTTTTTTTTTTAATTTTTTCCAGTACTGGGGTCTGAACTGCCACCTTGTGTTACACACCACAATCATTTTTAGTTATTTTTTTAGATAGGGCCTTACGCTTTTTGCCTGGGGCCAGTCTTCCTCCCTATGCCTCCTGCACAGGTGGGATAACAGGTGTGCAGAATCATGCCTGAGTTTTTTTGTTGACATGGAGTCTCACTAACTTTCTGCCCAGGCTGGCCTTGAGACACCATCTTTCTGATCTCTGACTTCTGAGTAGCTGGGATTAAAGGTGTGCCCAGCATTATACTCATTTTAAAGATAAAAAATTTAAACTATAAGAAGTTAAGTTGCTGGGGAGGGTGAAACCCAGAATTTTGGCCCCTGATTCCATGGTCTTCACCCTGTCAGTTGTCTCCCTTAATGAACCAGGATGGAAGGACAGAATCTTTCACATTCTAACCTGGGACCCATTTAGACCTCAAGGAACTTGGCATAGAGGAAATTTTCTGTATACTATTGGCCTTCTTTAAGTTGGAACATCCTCTATCCTTCCTCAAGTTCTTTTGAAGGGAAATGAACTTATAAGTCATATCACCAGTCTGCAGAGATGTGGACCCCAAGGTGGAGGGGGTCTTGGGATCTTGGCAGTGAAGAATTAGCTGGGAGACTACTGACAGGGGCATCGCTGAGACTGAGAGAAAACCTGAGTAAACTCTCTGTACTTTAATACCTGTATCACCTGCTCTTCGTTACTTGACTTCAGTTGACTTTAAAAATCACCAATTTGGAGGTCTAGATAACACCACTGACAGGCAGGTCACCAGGGCAACCATTGACAAAGGCAATCAGCTGTCCTCACACCCCAAAGCCTGTCTTCAGGGAGCTTCCCCATTTCCACACGTGGCTACCTCGTGAATAAGGTCTTTTTCTTTTGCAAAACTCACCATTTCAGTCACTGCACAGCAGACAAAAAAAAAAAAATGGGCCTGTTTTGGTAACAATTTCACATGTCAGCCAAGAGCAAAGACCAGATGGCCTTTTGGCCAGTGGCTCATCAGCCTCTTACTGATGTTGAGGACATGTGGATGAATCTGAGCAGCTGCCTGGACCACTTGTCCCAGGCACCCCCCATCCCTGGGACTTTCCCTAGCTTGGCACCACTAACCTTGGGTGCAGAATTTCACTTCTGCAATAGAGAAATGGTGCCTGGGTTAAGGTGATGTTTTATTTGATGAAGAACTTTGGAACAAGGCTTCTCTCTCTCTCTCTCTCTCTCTCTCTCTCTCTCTCTCTGTTTCTCTCTCTCTCCCTCCCTCCTCCTCTTCCCTCCCTCTCTCCCTCTTTTCCTCTCCCCCTCCCCCTCCCTCTCTCCTTCTCTTTTGTTTTTGAGACAGGGTATTACTACGTAGTCCAGGCCAGCCTCAAACTCACCATCCTCTGCCTCAGCCTCACGATTACAGAGTTGCACCACCAAGCCCTGCTTACAAGTTTCTTTTTCTCCTTCCCTCTGGTTTGGCCTTCATTGTGAGGGTCCTGGTTCATGGATGTCTAATGTTAAGGATTAGGGAAGTTCCACTCCCAGAAGTTCTCTTGCTTTTCTTGTTTTCTGAGGTCTGGCTCTAGCTGCAGCATGTGTCACGTAAGTACATACTTCTGACCAGTGGTGTCCAAACCCGAAGCATCCCCACGTGCAGTCCTTTGGGTTTCAGTCTGCAAAATTGGGTGACTTTAAGCTATGAATTCATGAAAACTAAAAAAGTGATTCTCTCTCTAACACTGCCTGGTCATAATCCTTTTTAAACTAGAGACAAACGGCATGAAAATAAGCCTGGTTCGGTTACGTTGCTTCTCCAGTGCTCACATTTTCAGCCCCTTGCTCAGATGGGCACTGTATTGTCCATCCCAGCTCTCTCTCCTCTGGGTGTTTGCATAAACTGTTCTCTTTTAGTCCTCCCTGACCCTTTTAGCTGATCTTAGGAGCCCAATACCCTTTTGTGACCCTTTTAAAACACAAAGTAGATCCCTCCTATCACTCGTTGGCTCTGCTCACAGCCCTCCACGAGCTCCCCTTCCCATGCAGAGAGAGACAGGAGCTTCTCAGGAAGGTCTGCAGGGCCAGCAGGATCCTCGTGCCCTCTCCTCTCCCCCCGCAGCTGAGGCTCCACTGGGTCTCAGTCTTCCCTCACTCTCCTGGTCCCTCTCCAGCCACAGCAGCTTGCCTTCCTCCAAAGAATCCAAATGCAAGTGGCTGTGACCAGACCTCAGGCACCTTTCCCTCCACAGAAAGCCATGGTGTGCTTCGTGAGGCCCCATCCCAGGGCCCTCACCAGTTCCCACTTCTCCCCCCTCTCCTGTTTTACTTGGGCCTCTCATTTCCTATCAGCATTTGTTTGTTCCTCTCACTAGAAGGTGAGTGAGCCCACCTGGCTTTGTCTTATTCGCTGCTGGGTCCCCAGTGGGAGGAGGTGCCACAGGCTGCCCAGCTCTGTGCAGCGGTCATTGTTTTATTGCCATTGCTGTTCACATGTTTGCCTTGCCTCAAGACTCCAGAAGGGGGGCTGGTTCCTATGTTTCTTAGTATCCCTGGTTCTTAGCACAAAAGTGTGGGGCACGTGTTATGTAATGGTCCAGATAAGTAGTTTGGAGGAAGCTAAGACAAAGAGGAGGCCCTGGAATCTAAAAGACAAGAATCAGAAAGGAACTCTGCCCAGGAGCCTGCCTGACCTGGCATGGACTGGATGGGGAATGAGAGGGCAAGGGAGGAGTCAAGGAAGCGCCAGGTTTGGGATGGGTTTGATGAGGTCTTAGGACAGTCAGAGGAGGAGCAGACCAGCAGGGAAGAGACAACAACCTGGGTTTTAGGTCCATAAGATAGATACATGATTGAGTGGCAAAATGACAGAGGCTAGTGCTTACATGAAACGGGGAGATTGTGCCAGAATTAGATGAAAGCATTGTCTTACCCCAGAGTTTTGCTACTAAGCAAAACGAACAAAATGTCAACTAAGTCCAGCTATTTCATTTCTAGGTAATACATCTAAGAAGGATAAAAATGTATGTACCTGTACAAAAACTTACATGCAAATGTTCAGAGAAGCATTATCCATATAGCTAAAAACTAAAAACAACCCAATGTCAACAAAATATGACTTATCCATATAGTGGGATTTTATTCAGCCATCAGAAGAACAAATTTACTCATACATGCTAAACATGGATAGGCCTTGAAAACATTCTGCTAACTGAAAGTAATGAATCATTTATGGGAAATATCTATTAATCGTCAAATCTTTAGATAGAATGTAAATTAGTTGCTGCATAGGGCTGGGGGGGAAGAGAGGAAATAGGGTGACTACTGAAGAGTACGGGGTTTCCTTTTGGAGTGATGGAAATGTTTGAAAATTGTTATTTGTGGTGGTGGTTGTGCAACTCTGAGAATTGAGTAAAAGTCATTGAGGAGTTCATGTCACATGGGTGAATTCATGGCATTTGAGTTATTACCAAAGGAAAGAGGTGGGCAAACTAAAATAGCAGGTAGATAGAATCGACTAGAATCAAAGCAGACATCATTAATTTAACCAATAGAGAAACAAATGATACATCTTTAACAAAAAAAGATAAGTCAACCAGTTAACCAAACTAAACAGTTTAGTAGTGAACTTGGTTTGCTTCCTGGCACAACCCTCGTTAGGGGTAAGTAGCAACTGGGTTCATGGACCAGCTGCCGCCCGCAGACCACACTGAGCGGTGCTGGCACAGACAGTTGAGTCTAAGAGAGAGGTCAGCATGAGTAAGGATCCCTAGGGGACTTGCCTGTGAGCAGCTGATCCTTGAGGCCCAGTCAGGAAGCATTTGAAACCCGTTTCTCATTTTCCTTTTTTTCTTTCTCAGAGACCCCAAGTGTGACTGTGACCCAGCTGGCATTGCAAGGCCCTGTGACTCTGGCCGCTGTGTCTGCAAACCAGCTGTCACCGGAGAACGCTGTGACAGGTCTGTGTGAACCGTGTCCCTACAGACACTAAGGAGTCCGTTGGAAACAGGCATAAGGATTATTCTTCTGAGTGCAATTAGGGAAAAGGGATATAGAGTAAATGTCAAGGACCTTCCTGCTCTATGTCCTCGAAAACTAGACTTAAAAAATACAGCTGAGCACCCCAAATTCATTGGAGTCCTTGTATATTCTGCTTTGGGCCTCTTGTCTTTGTTTTTACTGCGACAGAGACAGAGGGCCCCAAAGAGTCCCCTGGCAGCTGGCTCTCAATCCAGGGTGCTTAGATACAAGGTGGTATTCAGTAATGAGCTCATGTGACTCAAGCTGGGCTTGAGAAATGCCTGTTCTAATTAAACATGTTGGGAAAATCCTTGTAACAGGGAATATCACAGTGTATGGCCATATATAACCATCGTGAACTGAAAAGGAACCGCCCCAGGGATGGGATGGTGCTTACAGGCACACACATGAGGCAGGGCACGACGTAAGAGCCCTTTGGGTCCAAGCCGTGTTGGGGCAGGTGGAGAACCTGGAGCCAGCTACTATAGGACATTCCTTAAGTACAAATGTGCTCAGACTAAACTCTCCCCTCCCCAAGACGGTTGTGAGCAGAGGGGTTATGAGGGTGGCTGCAAAGGTAAAAGCTTCCTCCTCATTTCCTTAAAAGTAAAAAAGCAATTCTTTGGCACTCTGCCAATCACTTCTACCTGGGCAGAGGAAATGCCAAGCACATTCCTAGCTTGTGTTTTCAGGGGGTTTTATGCTCGAAGGTGAGGGTAAGGAGAAGAGCTTCAGTTAAGAGAGAAGTCACTTTTTTGGAGGTCTTTTTTTTTTTATTTCAAAATATAGCATAGAAATATAAATCTACCTAAGAAATGCTGTCATCCCCACTGACAGGAAGTAGACCTCTGTTAAAAACGTGCGATTCCTAGAAGTGACCACTATTCTGGCTGTCATAGTAATCACTTCCTCACTTTTCTTGGTAATTTGGTGTCCTAGTGCATTCCTGCACACTGGCATTTAGTTTTGCCTGATTCCTTCCCCTCCCTCATCCTTTCCTCTCCACAAACTTGAGTCTTGCTCTACCACTTTCCATTTATACATCCTCAGACAAGTTTCTTAACCTTTCTGGTCCCCTTATCTAGGAAAACTGGAAGTAACAATTCCTATCTCTAAGGGTCACAGGGAGGATTAAATGAGAGACTACACATAAGGTGCTTGACACAACTTAAGTACTAAGTAAATGACCATTGAAACTGAAGTTAGGTTGAGCAGAAAAAAACAAGTCCTCCCTGCCCTCTTTCCTTTGACCCCCACATCTAAGACTTGCTCAGCAGTTGTCCTCAGAGAAGCCCCTAGGGCCACTGAGCTGGAGACATAAGTAGAATGCAAACCTGCACTTTGCTCTGTAGTATGCCTCTAACTATCCTTTTTCTTTGTTCTTACTTGTCCTCTCCCCATGGGCCAGAGCCAGGGGACCAGGGGCAGGGATGATGATTGACACCTAATGGTCTTGGGAACTAGGACTGCTGGGTAGATACTGAGGCAGGAACTTTCATTTCCTGGTTTCCACTTTGGTCTGGGACAGTGCTGCTCTGTGTATCCCTTCCTGTCTTGCCCATCTGACCTCCATCCATCACGGAGGATGAATTGGTCACCAAATTCCCAGACCAGCAAGGCAAAGGTGATTTTGCTGGACTGGGGGAGAGAAAGCGAACCGCCCCCACCTCTCACTTGGGGGGTGGTTCTAGTTGCCCATTAGGTGGTCTAGGGTGGAGGTGGTATGTGAAATTGCTATTTCCCTCTTCTGGGAATTAATAGTACTAAGTGAGAGAGAAAGCAGAGAGATTGAATCAGTCATTAGATTATTACGCAGAATATGAAATAACCATACTATCATCATGATTTATTTTCTATTATTTGGCAGTACTGGCGTTTAAACTCCAGGCCTGTGCTTGCTAGGCAGGCACTTGAGCCACTCCTCCAGCCCTTGTTACTCTACATGTTTTCAAATAGGGTCTTGCATTCATGCCTGGATCAACCTGCTCTGCCATCCTCTGCTTCCTGCCTAGCTGGGATGACAGGCGTGTGGCACCATGCCTGGCCTATTGGTTGAGATGGAGTCTTACTAGCTTTTTGCTGTTCTTGAACCTTGATCCTCTTAATCTCTGCTTCCTGAGTAGCTAGGATTACAGGAGTGAGCCATCACCCCTGGCTCATCCTGGTTTCTAAAATGCTGCTGCAGGTGTCGACCAGGCTATTATCATCTGGACAGAGGAAACCCTGAGGGCTGTACCCAGTGTTTTTGCTATGGACATTCAGGCAACTGCCGAAGCTCCACAGACTTCAGTGTCTACAGGATCACCTCTACCTTCCATCAAGGTAAAGTGCTCCCTTCTTGAGAGTTTGTTTTTTAATGTCGTATGGGGTTTTGTGCTTACAGACAGCCACTTCCCCGTCCACAGGATGGATTCTCAAGTCATCTTTAGCAATTCTTTTTTTTTTTTTTAATCAACTAATTTATTTGGCAGCACTGGGATGTGAACTCAGGATACTTGCTAGTCAGACAATCTTAAAACTTGAGCCACTCTGTCAGCCTTAGCAATTCTTTTGTAGTTTTCAATGTACAGTATTTTGTTAGGGCAGTAAGGCATACTCTAAGGTCTCAAAAAATAACCCAGAGTATTGTCATGCATGCATATCAGAGTAGGAATAACTTAAAAAATTTTTTAAAAGAAACTAGCTTTTTATCTTCCTGTACTTCTCACCTGTGTTTATTCCAAAACCAACATGGAATCATTCATGTGGACCAGGGGTTTATGAGCGCATCCTGGAAGCTGCATACACTACTAACACTGTCTTCACATACATTAAGTGAGTTGATGTATCTGAAATTAGTTGCCAAGATACAGAGTACTAAACACATATTGGGAATTGATTTTTCAACTAGTCTGAGTTTCTGGGCCTTCTCACCTCACTAAGGCCAGACTTGTTTATGTAAGTATAATAAAAATACAAATTACAGGCAGATAAAAACATGTTCTCTTATCACAAAAGCCAGATCCAAAGATAAATCAGAGCAGCAAAGAGGTGGGAGCTTGCGAAGTTCAGACTCTAGTGCAGAAGTGAGTGGAAAATTCGTAAAGGAATGTGAAAACTCTGCTTTCTGCACATCAATGGGATGTTTTGGCAAGCAAGTCTTGCCTTGGTTAACTCAGAGAATGATGAGGATTTGTCTCCTATGGAGTGGTGTTCTTTGCGTTCCAGATGTTGATGGCTGGAAGGTTGTCCAGAGAAATGGGTCTCCTGCAAAACTCCACTGGTCACAGCGCCATCGGGATGTGTTTAGCTCAGCCCGGAGATCAGACCCTGTCTACTTTGTGGCTCCTGGTATGTGAGAGATGATTTTTTCCTACAGAAGCCAATTTAGAGGACTAGGAAATGAGGATAGAAAACCTGAGTTAGCAAATGTGGCATTCATACCACTTGGTGTTTGGGCAGCAGTACCTCCAGGAAACAGCTGGGGCTTAAACCCAATTTGATGAAGTCACTGCAGCATAGGACAATAAAGCAGAATTGGGTGTCCTGGAGGTCAGACCCTGACGGAGGTACCTACTTGAATCAAATGGGAAGTTTCTGGGGTTCATACCAAAGCAAGAAATCAAGTCTGTGGATCTTTTGAGAAGGGATAGAAAAGCAAAAACAAAGCCTTTCTTTAAAGCTCTGAACACTTGTGAGTTGAAGATATATATTAGTGTCTGGGTAGAAAAGCTCGAATTCTAGTCCTAGTTTACATCCTTAGCTGAGGAGTGATTCTGGCTCAGTCATTCTTTCAGCCTCTCTGAACTTCAGGCCTCTCAACTATTAAATGAGAGTGGGAATACCAGCCTCCAGGAGTTATTGCCAACAAATAGGATGATTTTTGTGAAAGCACTCTGCAAACTATATTGCATTATATAACAAAGAGCACTATTGTTGATTTTCCTGGAATCTACATATGTCTGTCCTAAAGTCTATGCTGTGAACCATTTAATAGTAGAATTGTCTCACGATGAGGCCCTTTCAGCACTTCAGAAACTAACCCTGCTTCACAGCTCGGGTGGCATAACCACCACGCCCTGACTCTTCCCATAGGGTGGGACAGGACGGGGTGGAAAAGAGGGGACTCCAGCAGAAGTTGCCGACATTAGTGCACTCTTGAACATGTTTGCCTTTCCAGCTTCACCACTGATCTTTTTAAAAATTCTATCTCACAGCCAAGTTTCTTGGAAATCAGCAGGTGAGCTATGGGCAAAGCCTGTCTTTTGACTACCGTGTAGACAGGGGTGGCAGACATCCATCCACTCACGATGTGATCCTGGAAGGTGCTGGCCTACAGATCAGAGCTCCCTTGATACCACCTGGCAAGACGCTGCCTTGTGGACTCACCAAGACTTACACATTCAGGTAAAAAGAGAGACCACAAGTGGGTCAAACCAAGACTGACTCAGTTGTACACCCCTTGTACACCCACTCAGCCATTGTTCATTTATTTAATAAGCTTTATCGGGCATCTCTTGCTTAGACAGGATGTGAAGCAGCTGGCAGGCTAATGGGAGAAACAACAGATGATAGCAGTCTGCTGGTCAAGTGATGGAGGTAGACAGGATGGTCACAGTGTTGTGAACACATGTAGGAGGCACAACTGACTCACATTGGCATGATCGGAAGGAGGCTTCCCAAGAAGACACAGCCACTGTGAAGAGCAGCCTCAAAAGACAGAAAAGGAGCAGAGGTTAATGAGGCAGGAGGAATATCATGCCTGAGGAAGTTTTGTGCATTTGGAAATGCCAGTGCTTGGTTGGGCATGGCTGGAGCAAGAATGGGGGAGAGGAATACTGTGAAGAATGAGGTCAGAGAAACAGGTGGCAGTGAGTTACAGGTGGTCCTGTGTGTTCTACAGAAACTGCACTTATCCTGTAGAAGAGAGGGTTTTTTTTTTTTTTTGATAGTCCCAAGGTTTGAACTCAGGACCTTGTACTTGCTAGGCAAGTACTCTACCATTTGAGCCATGCCTCCAGCCATTTTTCATATAGTTATTTTTCAAATAAGTTCTCATACATCTACCTAGAGCCAGCCTCAGATCACAATCCTCCTACTTATGCCTTCTGCATAGCTGGGGTTTGAGTCACTGTGCCTGGCCTTAGAATGGGGTTCTTGGGTGGTGTGTTCAGACAGAGCAGGCAAGTTGCTGTGCCTTAGCTGTGCCTGCTAAGTGCTCAGTACTGCACTAGAGACTGGAAAGTAAAGATGGAACATGGTCTTTGTCTTACAAGAGCTCCTGGTCTAGTAGGATATATAATACATCAAAAAGCAAGCGTAACACAGTACAATAATTGCTTTGGGGTGGAGTATGTTCATGGGATCTTGGAAAGAGCCTAATTCTGCCTGGAGGAGTCAAGGAAAGCTTCATGGAGGAGGTATTCTGTGGGCTAAGAATAGGAAGATGCAAAGAGCTTTTCCAGAGAGAAAAGTCAGGACAATTCCACATGTGAACTAAAGTGAGGATGTGGAAAGGTATAACATAGAAGGCAAACAATATTAATGGCTGGACCACAGCATGTGTAGGGGAGAGAGGCAGATGAGTTTGAAAAGGTTGGAATAGGGCCCATCATGGTGGCCTTGAATGTCAGGTCAAGGTGCTTAGCTCTTGTCCATGCAGAAAGGTGATGGAAAACCACTAAGAGATTCTAAGTCAAGCAGTGTCCTGGTCCAGTGAAGGCTGGGTGCAGGTACCCTGTGGAGGCTAGTTTGGATAGGGTCCTTACCTGGATCATCAGAGGGCATTCATGATGGCTCAAGTGAGGGCAGTTGGAGGTCTAACCTGGGACCGAGTTAATAGGAATGGAGGAAGGAAGACCTAAAGTACACACACACACACACACACACACGTTCTGTACTTAAATACCTGAGTGCTACTTGTTCTGACAATGCACACACAGATCTCCTGCCTGGGACATCTGTTCCCACTTCTCAGCTTAGTGAACTTGCTCCTTGTGGTTCAGCTCACATGTTCTTCCTTAGTATTAGCCTTCTCAGAATCCCAGGCAAAGTTCCAGTCACCTTGTATGTTTCTTGTTTTCTTTCTTTCTTTCTTTTTTTTTTTTTGTGGTACTGAGGGGCTACACCTTGAGCTCACTCCACCAGCCTCTTTTTGTGAAGGGTTTTTTTTTTTTTTTTTTTTGAGATAGGGTCTCATGGAGCTATTTGCCTGGGCTAGCTTCGAACTGCAATCCTCCTGATCTCTGCCTCCTGAGTAGCTAGAATTACAGGCGTGAGCCAACAGCGCTTGGCGCACCTTGTGGCATTCTGTGCATGCATAATAGCACTCACTGCATTGTATTATACCTGTTAACCTACCCGCAGCAACCCTGGCTGAATGACGATCACCTCTGCCTAGTTACCTTTTCCTCTGGCCTTACAACTTCAGACCAACCCCCCCAGGGTACAGTGTGTGTGTGTGTGTGTGTGTGTGTGTGTGTGTGGTGCTGGGGTTCATACCCAGGGTCTCACACATGCTCCGCAAGTGCTCTGCTACTGTGCTGTGTCCCCAGCTCCACAGTCAACTTTTGTTTAACCAATGAGTAAAACGAAAGGGGTAGGACAATTCTTAGAAGCAATATTCCAGTAAAAAGAAGAAACATTTAAAAGAATAGCACAGACGATTGCTATTCCAGTGAGGCACCATGATGCCAAATTAAGCGTATGAGAGGCTGAAGACGTAGCTATGGAGTAGAGTGCTTACTCCAGCAGTAACAGAAACGTGTTAGATGTGAACAGTATGGACGATTTTGTAGGAGTACAGTGTGGTGTCTGATGATTTGGAAGCAGGACTGCTTCAGGTGAAATGAGGCCAGGAAAGCAGCTTTCCATGCCAGCACGCACTGTCACCTCCTGTGGGGTTTGCCCCATCATGGAGGGAGAAAGCACTAAGTGCACGCCTCCAAGGAGATGTGTTCCTCTAAGCAGTACTGCCAAGGGCTTAGCTGTTCCCACATTCTCAGGTATACTTTGTATCAGGTGGTGATTTGATAGGAGTTGGTTTTTTAAAGATTTTTGTTTTCAATTACGCAGATTAAGTGAACATCCGAGCAGTAACTGGAGCCCCCAGCTGAGTTATTTTGAGTATCGAAGGTTGCTTCGGAACCTCACAGCCATCCTGATTCGTGCTACATATGGAGAGTACAGTAAGGGACCAAGAGAAGTGCAGTTCTGTCTTCTTTGGTTTTAATTGCTTCAGCCATCTAAGGTGGTGACGGTTTCCGAACAAGTAGATAAACCACTTTATGGTTTTCACTTAGAGAATGTTGATTGAGTCTACATTTTTATATTCTTACAAGGTTTTTTTCAATAGTAGTGGGGGTTGAACTAAGCGCCTTGTGCTTGCTAGGCAGGCACTCACTCAACCACTTGAGCCAGGCCTCCAACCTTTTTGCTTTTAGCAATTTTTCAGACAGGGTTTTTGCCCATGGCTGGCCTGGATTGCAATCATCCTACCTATGTCTCCCTTATGGCTGGGATGACAGGCATGTGCTATCACATATGGCTTATTGATTGGGATGGGGTCTCAATAACTTTTTCCCTCAGGCTGGCCTCAAATCATGATCCTCCTAATCTCTCCCTTCCAGTAGCTGGAATTACAGGTGTGAGCCAATGCACCTGGCCTTTCTACAAGTTTGATTAAAGGAGATTATTTGAAGGGGAGCATCTACAGCAATGCAGCCAGCCCTGTTGATTCTTGAGTTGCTTTTCCTTCGGGAATTACACTTAATGCTGCCATGTTTGGACATTGTCATGTAGTTTGTTAATTCTTTTTTTTTTTTTTTTTGAGCTTCACATGTTAGGTCCTCCTAATCCCAATTAGAATTATAAAAAGGAGACTTCCTTAAACTGTTAGTATTCATGTAACATGCATGGCTGGTCTGTACCATTTCCATGTCACTGATCCAACAAATTAAGCAGGAAGTAGGCAAGACATTCACTGACAATTTGCTGAATTGCTACTCTGTGCTAGGTGCCTGTAATATGCACTGCCCCATTTAATTCTCACGACAAACAGAGGAGATGGACTCCACTGTTACTTCTCTTTTACAACTGGAGAGGTTAAGTGAGTTGTGCCATTCATACAGCTTGTATGCGTGGAGCCAGGATTTGAACCCTAATTTTCTTGACTCTAGAGCCTGTGTATTCATCCCAATGCCGGGTTGCTATAGCACTCCATGTGGCACAACGAACACCACCTGTTGGGATTAAGAAAGATAAAATCCAAAGAGACTTGATTTTAGAACTTTATATCTTACCGCTTGCTACTTCTAACCTCTTCTCTTTATTGCAGGTACTGGATACCTTGACAATGTGACCCTGATTTCAGCCCGCCCCATCTCTGGAGCTCCGGCACCATGGGTTGAACATTGTATTTGTCCTGTTGGGTACAAGGGACAGTTTTGTCAGGATTGTGCATCTGGCTACAAAAGAGATTCAGCGAGACTGGGACCTTTTGGTGCATGTATTCCATGTAACTGCCAAGGGGGAGGGGCTTGCGATCCAGACACAGGTGAGTGAAATGACACCTGGACCAGGTGGCTGGGGTTGCAGCCAGGTGACTGGGGTCCCCTGTGGAAGAGATAGATACCCTGCCAAACTCATTTCAGAGATGGCAAAGGATTAGGGAGAGTGGGGCTGCAATCAAGGAAGATGGGCACGGTGCCTTATTACACTCAATCCTTTTCATTGTGGAAATGCCACAGGGTTGTGAGAAAGTGCTAGGTTACAGGAAATGGCTGTCATGGTTCAGTGCAAAGGTGAGGAGTTGGTGTCAAGTTGCACCAAGTTGTGTAGGAGATCAAAGACAAGTCAGCGTTCAAATGAATGTGCCAACAAATGGTGTCAGACATGGCAAATAGGAGTAATAGTGAAGGAAGCGTGGGTCTACTGAGCACAGTAGAGACAGGGGGAGAGTTAGGGTCTTGGCTGTATTTAGACTTGATATGAGAACAGGGGTGAATGCCAGTGTTCAGACACTGGGGTAAATTTCAGAAAGGAAGACTTAGGGTTCTGCACTCTAATCCCCATGTTTCATCCACATTGAAGGAATTATATCGCTCAGTTCTCTGCCCCTCCATTCTTCTTCTGCCCCCCCAGGAGATTGTTATTCTGGAGATGAGAATCCTGACATCGAATGTGCTGACTGTCCCATTGGTTTCTACAATGATCCCCATGACCCCCGCAGCTGCAAGCCGTGCCCCTGTCACAATGGGTTCAGCTGCTCAGTGATGCCAGAGACAGAGGAGGTGGTGTGTAATAACTGCCCCCCTGGGGTTACCGGTAAGGCCATGGGCCTGCTCTGCAGCTGGCTTCTTTCTGTCCTGATGCTGTGCCTTTATGTAAATAGTTTCCAAGCCGGGCACCATGGCTCACACCTATAATCCTAGATTCTTGGGAGGCAGAGATCTGGAGGATTGTGGTTTGAAGCCAGCCCAGGCAAATAGTTTGAGAGAATCTATCTCAAAAATACCTAACACAAAAAAGGACTGGTGAGTGACTCAAGGGGTAGAGTGCCTGCCTATCAGGTGTGAAGCCCTGAGTTCAAACCCCAGTACTGCCAAAAATAAGTAAATAAAAATAAATGCCTTCCAAGGGCTTTCTAGGAAATTAGAATTACTTTGGGTTAATTTAAATGTGCTCATTCTAAAGCTAAATAAGAATATTGTGATGCCCAAGAGATGGGGTGGATGGAGTAAGGGCCAAGTACAGAGTTACAGAAAAAAGAACATGGTGCAGTGTTGGGAACTTTATAGTTAGGAGATGAAGTTTTCAGACTGCATCTGAAAACTGTTTTAAGTTGCTTTTTAATGAATTGAGCTAAAGAAGGAAAGCTTAGTGGACTCTTAAGTGTCACTCCCCTCTTCTACTCAGTCTGAAATAAAAGAATGAATTGATTCTTCTGCAGCAGCCTTGGTGGTGTCATTGAAATTTCACCACTTTTGCTGTGCTTCTGACCTTTCCCTCACTAGCTAGTGAAGCCACCTAGTAGTGTTGCTGTGTTCTAAAATCTGTGGTGACCAGGGAGTGACAGTGAACCTCTGGCCACATGTATCTGCCCCTAAGGATATTGTTCTGCAGTTCTGTGGGAAGTGCCTTTCCCTGGCTCTTCTGGCAGGTCTCTCTACTTTCGACTTCTGCATCTGCTCTTGCTATCCATGGGTGACAATCTGGGCTGGATATTTGTTCCTTTGTTCTTTCCCAGGGGCCCGCTGTGAGATCTGTGCCGATGGCTACTTTGGGGACCCCTTTGGGGAACGTGGTCCAGTGAGGCCTTGTCAGCCCTGTCAATGCAACAACAATGTGGACCCCAGTGCTCCTGGGAACTGTGACCGGCTGACGGGCAGGTGTTTGAAATGCATGTACAACACTGCCGGTGTCTACTGTGACCAGTGCAAGGCAGGGTACTTTGGGGACCCTTTGGCTCCTAACCCAGCAGACAAGTGTCGAGGTAGGACTGCATCCCCTGACAGATTAAGTCTGTGTTTACATGCAAATGCTTGGAAGCGAAGGCAAAACCAAGGGCTGTTAATGTTGTGATGCAGTTTTGGTTCTCTGACCAAATTGCCCCATGAACAGCTTTCATCTTTTATCTGTGAGAGGCACTAAGACCATCTCCCCCAGCATAGGGCTCTGGAAGACAGACCTGGAGGTTCTCAAATGGTTAAAGCTGGATGGGAGAAGTGAAAAAGGTCAAGTTTACATTCCTAAGAGGAACAGCAGATAAAATGGGACCACTTCCTATGCCCAATCCCTAGGTGGGTAGACAGGGAAGTAAGTGGCTGTCTGACCTCTTATAGGAGAGAAATAAATGACTCCAGACTAAGCCTGAGCAAACTGAAGTGAGTGTGATTGATGTATAGAAGGTGACCATTGTCAGTTTTCCCAAGGAGCCTCAGCTTCAAAGCAGCACCTCTCACAGAGGCTCCTAAGGGCACTTCAGATCAAAGCCCTCCAACTCAGCTTCTCTCAAACCTTAGCACCTGTTGTATTTCAGAGGCAAGGCCAAGTCTGCAAGGTCTGGCCTTCATTCTACTTACCCCTTAGTCACAAAGGTCACAGAATGGCTCTGGTGCCCAGTGCTCAGGAGCTTGTCTGGTATAAGATCCTTACACCAGAGTCTCCTTCTGGCAGAACCTGGGGACCTCTGTGCACACTGAGGCTTCTACCCAGGAGCATAGATTCCTTGGGAATTCCTGGGCCAGAGCAGCCCAGTCCCCATCATGAGGGTCAGCTGTGATGGGCTGGAAAGTACCTCATGATAGGAAGACGTGCGTTAGCAGCACTGACTTCAAGTCCAGTTTTGTAACGTACCTATTCATGCTTGTGTCATGGTGATAAATACCTGAGAAAAACAACTTAAAGGGAGGAATTATTTATTTTGTTCATGATTCAGCGATTTCAGTACATCATGGCGGGGAGGACATGGTGGAGGAGAGTGGAGATAGGAGGGGACCAGGGCAGCATTCTTCCTTCAAAGACACGTTGCCAGTTACCTATTTTTCCCAACCAGGCCCCACCTTCCACAATTCTACTAGCTACCAGTCATCTGTTAAAATTTTGAATCCATCAATGGATTAAACCATTCATTAGGTCAGAGACCTCACGATCTCATTCTCTCGCATGCACACGCAGAGATGCATCTCACTAGACTCCCAGACATCTCAATTCAATCAAGTTGACAATCGAGATCAACCATCACACTGTTTTATTGTGCTTATTAAGCCCAGTCCTCCCTCTGAGCCTCAGTTTCCTCAAATGTATGAATGATATTTCAAAGTAGTTGCAAAGGTAAAAGAAAAAGGCACATGAAAAAGCACGCTGTATCTCTCTAATTCTAGCCATAAGATGGTATCAGCAGATTTCATTAGATTTAGACCACATATGTCTTCACTCAGCTATCTTTTATTGAGCACTTACTGTTTTTTATAGAGCACCTACTGTGTACACAGTGTGAATCTAGATATATTAAAGTTAGAATGATGAATTAGTTAGTCTCAGTTCCCATATGCTAATAAGGGAGACATACAAAAATGTATGCAAATAGTGACAGTATACTTAGGCATGTGATCAGTCAGTGTTTTGTGAATGCTGAAGATAGAGAAGACCAGAAGGTCACCATAATTATTAGAATAGTGTCTCACTTGCTGTTATTTCCTTGATTCTTCAAATAGAACCAGGCACAGAGCAGGATATGGGTATTACTTTTATTACTGCCTTTCCTACATGAAAGGCACCAGAGCAGAATGAAAAGAGCATTGGCTCTTTTTGGGCCCTCACTGCAGCTTCCCATCTATTTACTGTGGGACCTTGGGTAAATGATTCAACCTCTCTGAGCTCACATTCCTCATCTGTAAGACAGAGGGAGATGTTTACATCTGGCACAAAATAAGCCCTGAAGAAACGCTATGCTCCTTCTAAGCCTAGCCCGAATGCCAGCAGAATAGCCAACTGGCTCATAATTTAATAGAGGAAGAAAATACCTCTTCATCCACACATACCAAGCACACTTGCTGGGGCCCATCTGTGTTAGGAATATGCACAGAAGCACAGCCAGGGAATGAACCTCACTCCACATGAAAGACAAAAGCAAAGAAGCTTCCTTGCCGTTGGAGATGGGCTCTTTCTTTTCTTTGCTATACCTCCAGTTTTTGCATTGGTTGGATGTAAATGCTCCATTTGTCTGTCTGTCTGTCTCTAGCTTGCAATTGCAACCCCATGGGCTCAGAGCCTGTAGAGTGTCGAAGAGATGGCAGCTGTGTGTGCAAGCCAGGATTTGGTGGCCTCAACTGTGATCATGCAGCACTAAGCAGCTGTCCCACTTGCTATGATCAAGTGAAGGTTCAGGTACGCCTGCTTCTCCATCCACCCCACCTCCACAGAATCAGACCTCAAAGTGTCCTCTGAGTGGTTCTGTCACAGGTCTAGGCCCTGGGGATGGGAGTGTAGGTTACTGGCTCTCTTTTATTTTCATCTGAGCTAAAAAACATGCTGTATAATACAACAATAACACAGCAGGTTTATCTTCAACCCCCCCTCTTTCAGATTCCATCTCATTTGGTACTCCTTTGGAAAGAAAAGGTTTTAAAAATCATTTTTATTATTGTCTATTAATTGTATGAAGTGAGGGGTTTCATTGTGATATCACCCTGCATGCGTAAAATGTACTTGGGTCATATTCCCCGCCTCCATTACTCTTTCTTATCTTCTCTTTCACCAATCCTCCTTTTTTTAAACTTTCCCGCAATTTTTTTTTTAGAATTTTATTAGCATATAATAATATTTGTGATATTTGCTTATGTGTTTACAATATATTTTACGTGGATCTACCCCTTCCATCATTCTCCCTCTCCTCTCCTCCCCCCTTCTTAGAAAAATTTCGATAGATTTCATTCTTCTAGTTTTATGTGTGGATACAAAATACCACACATAATTCACCCTCATTCCCCCCTTTCCTTGTTACCACCATATTCACCCTCATTCCCCCCCTTTCCTTGTTACCCACCCACCTCTCTCTGGTACCCATCCCCAGAAAAGACTTATTTTTCCCTCATTTAAAAAAAATTAAGTTATATTGATAGTGCAAGGGTGTCTTTGGTACTTTAAGTCTGTATGTATCGTTTTGCAAAATTTTTCAAATGGTGTCATTATGATCATGTACTTCAATCATATTCTCCCTCCCCTTTTTCTCCTCCTACTTCCTGCTTGTTTCCATACACCACACAAATAATACCCCTTTTATGTTCTTGCCCTTTTTACAAAGTCTGGAAATACTTGCAATATTTCAAAGTGTCATGGCCGGTTGGAACCAGGAATGCCACCACTGTCCCCAGACTTTGGGTTCAGTGCTCTTGCCACTATCATATTCCACTTTCCAGCTGGGTTCCCATCCCCAAGAGATGTCCTTGTAAAACAAAGGAAGAAAAACCTGAGTATATCAAAGATATGAAGAGTCCAGGACAGGTCAAGACTTTCCAAACAGGATTGGCCTGGCCACCAGAAATTTCTCATTCAAATTCCAAAGAAGAATGAACTCTGTTGTTGCTGTTGTTCTTGTTAAGTATTATTATAATGGAGAATGAGGAGGAAAGGATCCAAACAAAGCTACAAATGTAGAACTCTCTCAACCTGTTTTTTATATTTGCTATTTAATAGTCTTTTATAGCACTTTCTTGGGGCCAGACTCCATTCTAAGCACTTTATAAATATTAACTTGTTTAATATAAGAAAGAAAGTGAGTTACCCAAGCCACATGGCTAGAGTCATGGGGCCAGGATTTACACTCAATGAGTCTAGGTGCTAGAGTCTAATTTTTCAGACACCATGACATTCCAAGCATTTCTGGGCTTTTAGCAATTGTTGTACCTGGTATTGGACTGTGGTCTCCATCCTCTGTTCTGATCCTCTTTCCTGTGTGGTTTCAGATGGGTCAGTTTATGCAGCAGCTTCAGAGCCTGGAGGCCCTGGTTTCAAAGGCTCAGAGTGGTGGTGGAGCAGTGCCCAATCCAGAGCTGGAGGGCAGGCTGCAGCAGGCTGAGCAGGCCCTACAGGAAATTCTGAGAGAAGCCCAGATTTCAGAAGGTGAGGAAAGTCAGCTTCCTATCCAACAGGGGAAGATTCATATCCTAGAAAGAATGGTGACACCAGATCTTAGTGTCTTCTGTAGCCAACAGCTCAGCAAGTGTCTGCAGCCAGCCCTTGCACTGGGTGAAAGGACCTCCTGCAAAGTTCCTCTCAGACCTGAACAAAGGAGACAAAAGAACAGTCACAGGCTTTATTTATCGATTCTTCTATCGATTCTGTCCTTTGGCCATAGCCAGTCAGTCCTCGGTTGTGTTCGATAACTAGGCTGACCTGCAAAGGGCTCATCCACGCTTTCTTTCCTTGTGTTCAGATGCTAGGAGATCACTCAGTCTCCAGCTGGCCAAGGTGAGGAGCCAAGAGAACAGTTTCCAGAACCGCCTGGATGACCTGAGGATGACGGTGGATAGGGTTCGGACTGTGGGCGGTCAGTATCAGAACCGGGTTCAGGATACCCGTAAGCTCATCACTCAGATGCGTCTGAGCCTGGCAGAAAGCGAAGCTTCCCTGCGGAACACCGTACGTTTGGCTGGGGTAGGGGTGTTGAGAGTCACGGCCTGGGTGGGAGACCCAACCACAGATCTCACCTGCTCACGTTGTCCCTCAGCTTTCTTATTCTACCTGGCAAGTAGCTGCACTTTGCTTCCTTGCGACAGTCACATCTATTCTTTATGTTTTTGGTCTCCTGTGATTTATCACTTTACTGCATTTTGTTCTTCTCCCTAGTTTGTGTCTAACCACATCCTCATCTTGCAAACCCTGTCTCTCCTTTCTTTCTGCAGGATTTAGTTTTGTTTGTCTTTGTATTCAAGCCCCCAGCATAGTATCTGGCATAAGTAAATGAATGGATAAAGGAATAAATGCACAAATGAGTGAAAATGGAAGAGAGGGAGGGAAGGAAGAAGGAAGGCAGAAAGGAAGCAGCCTAACAAAGACATCGTTCTGAAAATGGAAAAAGAATTGTTGCAACTCTGATTTTCCTAATAATGTAGTTTACGATGAGCCTCTAGTAATTAAAAAAGGCAATGTGGGGAGGGGTGGAGTACTGGTGAAGTGGTTCAAGCTGTGGAATGCCTGCCTAGCAGGCATGAGGCTGTGAGTTCAAACCCCAGTACCTCCAAATAAAAAGGTAAATAAATAAAATAAAAAGACAATTGTGACAATAATGTAAGAGGACCAGTAGGGGATGAGTAAAGGAAATTGGAAGATAATTAGATAATGTGACAAAGAAATCACATCAAAAATAATATCTACTGATTTTTACCCCTTATTACAAAAATATTCATTGTAGAAAATGCAGAAAATAGATTAAAATACCCTTTGATACTATTACTACTAACTACTGTTAAAACTTGCTGTATATTCTACTGGATTTTAAATACATATAAAATATGTACCTGTATATATTTAAAATGCATCTGTATTTTTATATAGACACTTTTTGAACCTGGATATCTACTGTGTTGCTGTGTATACACATACTTTTTTGTTAATGGAGTAATCTTGGTGCATACGATGTGTCGGGGTGTGTAGAATCCTGTAGTCACAGTGGTTTTGACACTTAAACCACACCTGGTTAGGCTCCATGGCCAAGTGCAAAGCCTTAATCAATTCTCCTTTTCCCACAGAACATTCCTTCATCAGAGCACTACGTGGGGCCAAATGGCTTTAAAAGTCTGGCTCAGGAGGCTGTGAGTTGGCAGACAGGTGAGCAGATAGGGGGCACCTCTGTAAAGCCAAAGCTGAACAAGACTGCAGGGCATTCAGGACCCAACCACCAGATTCCATCCCTCTCTGTTCCTTTGCAGACACCCCCTGCCTTGCAACCATTTCAACCACTTGGCTTTTAGTGAGTGTAGGTAGATGCTGGAAGGGTGGTTTATAAGAGTTGGGGGTGGGGGGATTTCTTTCCCAGATTTCTCTATGACTCATACATGGCCATGGTGGCTGGCCACGTAAAATGAATCAGCCTTTTGGAAAAGGACGTTCTGCAGCTTTCAGGGACTCCCAGGCTCCCACACCAAGCCTGGGAACAAGTAGCAATGGGTTGTTTACCAGCCAGTGAGGGCCACGTGTGCAAAAGGGGAACTTACTCCTGGAAACCCAGAAACCCTGGGGTAACTGGCAGTTCCCTTGGTCCTGGCCTCTGACTATAAATCCCACCATGTTCAGGGGGTTTGCTTGTAGCAGAGAGCTCAGTTCCCTGGCAGGCAGGCTCTGTTAATCCCAAGTGGAATTTAGACAACCGAAGGGGGCTGGCTTGTGTTTTTGTAGCATGTGCTCCCTACTGAGCCTGCTTTTTATTTTTAAATATCACTTCCTAGAACCAGGGGAACAGAAGCTTAATGGAGACTTTTACTGATAGACTTTGTCGGCCCAGTTTGGAGTTGCAGCAAGAGTGAGTGGGGAGTAGGACCTGGGATGAAATTAGACCTAGGGTTTCTTCTTGCAGAAAACAGTTTTTTGGTTTTTTTGGGTTTTTTTTGTATGTGTGTTTTGCAACGTGTTGCCACCTGGGACTGCTTCCACCTATCCCCCCTCCCCACTTCTAATGAATGTGCCATAAATGGAAGTGACCACCACAGGCCTATGACACCTGCTTCTTGGTAGTTTCTCTAATCCCATCTGATCTGGGTCAGTTCTGTTTGCCTTTTCTAAACCAACCCAGTTCCCTTCCTCATCTCCCTTTACCTACATGAAAGACCTATGCTATGAACCTATGCTAATTTTCTATGAAGACTCTAATTCTTTGCTTTATATCCTCCAGCCACTTTGAGTCAGCCAGTAACATGGAGCAACTCACAAGGGAAACTGAGGAATATTCCAAACAGGCGCTATCACTGGCCAGCAAAGCTCTGAATGGAGGGGACGGAAGTGGCGTCCCAGACAGCGCTGCAGTACAAGGACTTATGGGAAAGTATGTTTCAACACTTTCCTCATTTGGAACCATAAAACCTGAGTCCTCCCAGGGTATAACTCAACCTGTACTTGAGAGATGCCATGTTTCTTTTTAAATGCTCATTAATAATAAAAAGAAAGACAATAGAATAAGCATGTGACTTTGGGGAAGCAAATATCTTTAAGACTGGAAGAAAAAAAAGGCTGAACTATCTAAGTAAAGTTTATATTTCCATTGAGAGATTGTGACACCTGGAGAGATGGTTACCCCCTGTGGTGTTTGAAGGATGTGCGTAAAGCCATCTGACAGTGCAGGGGATATAAGAATGATATATTTATATTTTCAGAAGTTGGAAAATCTTGAGTTGGATTGTTCTAGCTAGTCTGTACAAACTATAAGCCTAATGTTTAGATTGTGGATGGAGTCACATGTCTGACATACAACCTTATTTATAGTTTCTAGTTATTTTTACATACTTTTAAAACAAGATGAATTTACAAAGAGAGCAAATTCTCAAAGTCTTCTTTTTTCCTCTTTCTCCTTTTTTTGAAACCATCTCCTCTCCCTCCCTATAGATTAGAGAAAACCAAGTCCCTGACCCAGCAGCTGTCAAGGGAGGCCACTGAAACTGACCTTGAAGCAGATAGATCTTACCAGCATAGTCTACGCCTTCTGGATTCAGTATCTCAGCTTCAGGGAGTCAATGATCAGTCTTTTCAGGTGAGGACATCTAGCTTACGTGCTTTATTTTGTGGTATTGAAGTTTTGACTCAGAGCCTCAAGCTTGAGGTACAACACTTGGCTAAAGTGTTGTACCACTTGAGCTACACACTCCTATCCCTTTTTTGCTTCAGTTCATTTTTGGTTAGGGTCTTGCACTTTAGCCCAGGGCTGCCCTTGAATCATGATTCTCCTATCTATGGCCTCCTACATAACTGAGATCACAGGCACGCATATTACCATGCCTGGCTTGTTCATTGAGATGGGGTCTTACTAACTTTTTGTCCAGGCTGGTCTCAAACCACTGTCTTCCCAATCTCTGTTTCTTGGGAGCTGGGATCACAGGCGTGAACCATACTACTTGGCTACTTAAGGCTGTTGCTGTTTTTTAAACAGCAATGCAAGATCCTGAGAAGGCTGGTGTGCTAACTGGCAATCAGAAAGTCAGTCTCATTCATTTCTTTGGGCCCACAGGTAGAAGCAAAGAGAATTCGACAAAAAGCTGATTCTCTCTCAAGCCTGGTAACCAGACATCTGGATGAGTTCAAGCGTGTACAAAGCAATCTAGGAAACTGGGAAAAAGAAACCCGGCAGCTCTTACAGAATGGAAAGGATGGGAGACAGGTATACATTTGTTAATTTGTTCACTCAACAAGCATTCATTTCAAGCCTACCGTGTGAATGAATATGGCAAGAAGAGCCATCAAAAGCTCTCTAAACGTCATGGTGCCACTGTTTATGGAGGGATCTTGATGGCTCCACCCACTGAGTCAGCACTCAAACCAAGAACAGGACCCAGGTCTCCTATGTCTAATTTTGGTCTAAGCCTGTCTACTAGCTTGACTTTAGGAAATGTCTAGAGCTTAAAATTATGATTTGCAAAACCATTCCTGTCCTTGGTGTTGGACTAGAGCTAGAGACTCCTCTAGATGGCATATGTTGTTTACTTACAAAGTTTGCTCTGCCCCAGACTGGAGATGGGTCTGTTCCAGCACCCCCAGACTCTGTGGTGAATCACAGTACTCTGTTGTCACAAAGACAAATGTGTCAGGATGATTTTGCTAGCAGGAATGCACTTACCCTAATCTTGTTCTGTCCGTCTATTTACAGAAAGCAGACCAGCTGCTTTCCCGTGCCAACCTTGCTAAAAGCAGAGCCCAAGAAGCACTAAGTATGGGCAATGCCACCTTTTATGAAGTTGAGAACATTCTGAAGAACCTCAGAGGTTAGTGCTTCATGTTCAGGTCACTAGAGTATTTTAAAGTATAGTCATGACTGATTTAATTCCTCATGTAGCTCTTTAAGTTCTAGGTATATTGATTATAACAGACACACAGTAAACTCTTTCTTTCTGTCTTTCTCTCTCTCATTTTCTCTCTCCTTCTTTCCTCCCTTTCTCCCTCTCCCCCCTTCCTTCCTTCCTTCGTTCATTCCTTCCTTCCTTCCTTTCTTCCTTCCTTTTTGGTTGTACTGACGTTTTAAACTCAGGGCCTCAAGCTTGATAGGCAGATGCTCGACCACTTGAGTCATATCCCAGCCATTTTTGCTTTAGTTATTTTTCAAATAGAGTTACGTTTTTGCATGGACTGGCCTGTACCATGATCTCCTATTTACAGCTCTCATGTCAATGGGATGACAGTCCTATACCACTACATCCACCTTTTTTACTGGTGGAGAGGAGATGGAAGCTCACTGACTTTTTACCAGACTGGCCTCAAACTACAATCCTCCAGCTCACTATCTTATGGGTAGCTGGGATTATAGATGTGAGCCAAGGTGCATGGCAAGAAATATCTTTCTAAAGGAAAAAAAATCTCATTAATAATTGATGTAGGTAGTGGAAATAATTCAACTAAACATGAGAAAGCTTGAACCCTGGTCTCAGCCAAGCCATATGACCAGGCCAAGCTTGCTATGTGAACATAACAAAGTTATCACCCTTTTTAATTTGTGGGACAAGGACAAGGATCTTTCTGGATCCTAATATCTTCCTCTGTAAGGGGAACAGTGATCTTTGAGGTTCCTCACAGATCTAATGTGTCACTACTATACAGTTTTCCTTTTCTTTGGTAGCCTGGTTGATTCCAATATAGTACCAATATGGTGCCTGGTGGTGATGACACCAGCTATCAGGAGATTTGGGTTGTGCCTTCCAGGGATTTAGTTAAAATGTCAGAATTCTTCACCAACAAACAAGAAAGAAGCATTCCTACAGTCTTGGGATTTTCTTCATAGGAAATCCCTTTTTCCAATTCCTCCCAAACCCCAGCTTATGTCATTGGCAGTTCTGGCTTGAAGCATTGGGCCTCAGAGTTCCTACCCACTTTTCATTCACTTTGGGGTCATAATAGTCTTAAAATGGTGGGGCCCAGGGCAGGCCGATTGCCAGTTTCCCCAAGCAAAGAACTAACTGTGGCCCCTCCAGTGCCTCCTTTAAGATGCTTTTTCTTGGATAAAAGTCTTTCCAGTCACAACTTCTCAAACCCTCTCCCCACTCAGTTTTCCTCTAAACATCAGTCCCTCTTGCTCATTTGTAAGTTTGCTATATATCCTCATGGCATTTTTTTTCTGTTCTGCATTTCAGAGTTTGACCTGCAGGTTGAAGACAGAAAAGCAGAAGCTGAAGAAGCCATGAAGAGACTCTCCTATATCAGCCAAAAGGTTGCAGATGCCAGTGACAAGACCCAGCAAGCTGAAGTGGCTCTGGGGACCGCTGCTGCTGATGCCCAGCGGGCAAGGAGTGCAGCAAGGGAGGCCCTGGAGATCTCCAGTGAGATAGAACAGGTGAAGAGCAGGCTGGCACAAATAGCACCAAATGCAGTGTTGGTGTAGAAGGGAGAGCACTGGCTCATTTTGACCCCTATAGCTCAGAGGCCTGCTGTGGTTCACTGTAGCCTCAGGTTCCCATGGCCACCCTTCTTTTGGATGGATTCACAGGGCTGTACTGCTCGAGCCCCATATAGAGCTTTCTTTTGGACAGCACTATGAGAAAAACCAACCATGATTGTTTCTTATAGTGACTATTGTATTCATTTTCTAAACCTGTTAAAAAAAATACCCTAACCTGGGTTGTCTAAAATATCAGAAACTATTCTCTCACCATTCTGGACACTAGAAATCCAAAATCACAGTGTTGAAGCAAGCTTTTTCTCGCTCCTGTTACTACTGAACCTAACTGGGGCCTAATTGGGCAGCAACGGGAGATGCGGAAAGGACACAGAATAGACAGACAGACAGAAAGTGGGATCAGGTTTGCTGGGTGCTTGGGTGAAGACGCACAGCAGCCTTATTGCTTCTTTTCTCTATCTTTATTCTTCAAGGCCTCACTCTTTTATAATTCTTTAAAACTTTGCTTCTAAAGTCTTTCTTCTTCCTATTCTTTAAAACCTCACTTCTAAAGCCTTCTTTTCTGTTCTTTAAAGTCTCTTTCCTTAGACTCATTCTGTCCTATGTTTTCGCTTAGCTTTTCTTTTTTTTTTTTTTTGTGCTTCTGGAAATTGCTTTTTCTTTTTTTTTTTTTTTTTCATTTTTCTTTTATTATTCATATGTGCATACAAAGTTTGGTTCATTTCTCCCCCCTGCCCCCACCCCCTCCCTTACCACACACTCCGCCCCCTCCCTCTCCCCCCCCCAATACCCAGCAGAAACTATTTTGCCCTTATTTCTAATTTTGTTGTAGAGAGAGTATAAGCAATAATAGGAAGGAACAAGGGTTTTTGCTGGTTGAGATAAGGATAGCTATACAGGGCATTGACTCACATTGATTTCCTGTGCGTGGGTGTTACCTTCTAGGTTAATTCTTTTTGATCTCACCTTTTCTCTAGTTCCTGGTCCCCTTTTCCTATTGGCCTCAGTTGCTTTAAGGTATCTGCTTTAGTTTTTGCTTAGCTTTTCTTTAGCATAATCTCTTTTAAAGTCTTTGTCCCCAGACTTGCTCTGTCCCATGTTCTCTTTAGCTTTAACAATTCCCCTTTAGCAGTTCTCCTTCGGCAATTCTTTTCCCTTCAGCAATCCTCCCTTCAGCCATTCATTTTCCCTCTTTCAGCACTCCCCCCCCAGCAGTCCTCCCTTCCAAAAGCCTCCCACATCCAAAAAGCCTCCCCTCTCAAAAAGCCGAAAGCCTAAGGCCATAAGCCAAAAAACTTCCCAGCCAAAAAACCTTTGACTTACACTGTAGAATCCTCAGTGCAGGAAGCTGGGAGACATACACCAGCAATCAGCAGCATCAGCATTCCACCTGCGTCCTCCTTCAGAGAGTCTTTTATATCCAGAGGTAAAGAAGGAGGTGGAGCAACAGCTCTTGGGGAGGGGCGTGACATTGTGACAAGAGGAACCTGCATTCCTGCTGTTCTGCATTTTCCTCTTCTGTGGCCAGGGCTGTGCAGAAACATCTTAGGAAAAGCAGCTGCTCTGCATCTTATTCTTGTCTTATTTTGTGGCTAGGGCTGTGCCAAACTCAGCCTACAGAACACTGGGCACAGCTATGTCCAGTTCTCATAGGCTTCTCATAATCCACTCTCCACACAGTGTCAGCAGGGCCACACTCCCTCTGAAGGCTCCAAGCGGAGAATTCTTCATTGCCTCTTCCTAGCTTCTGAGAGTGGCTGTCAATCCTAGTTTGTAGCTCTGTCACTCCAATTTCTATGTTGTCTCATGGGGTTCTCCCTGATAGTCTTCTGTCTGTTCCTGTAAGGACATCAGTCATGTTGGATTAGGGGCCCACCCTACTGCGGTATGACCTCACTTAGCTAATTACATCTACAACAACTCAGAGTCAAGTAAGGTCACATTCCAAGGTTCTGGGGGCTAGGACCTCAACAAGAATACAATTCAACCTGTAACAATTATCAACGTTTTGATTCAGATTATGATATTCTGGAGCTCTAGATCCTTTGTCCCAAGCTATATCCTGTGCCCAAGCTCCACTTCCTCATGCTATCTGTTTTCTACTGTGTGTGCTTGGTGCGGGCAATGCAGCGATAAAAAGGGTCTCACTCTTCAGGGAGCATTTAGGGTAATGGAGACAGACAAACAAGCTTACAGCCCACATGTTAAATGCTGCAGTGGAGGGAATGCTTCTCAGCTGGGAGAAAGTGTCTTAGCTCCTAAATCAGCATGATTCCAGAAAGCTTTTGCAACTCCAGAAAGCCCAGAGGGAGCTCTTGGTATGTAGACTATTTGACTTCACTTTAGACCATTTCATAACCAGCAAAAATAATTTCTAATTTTAAATCTCTGAAGCAATCTAAAGACCAATTTAATGTACGTCTCTTTATAAACTTCTAACAAAGACACCTGCAACCTGATGCTTAATTAGAGTTTATTGATAAGCCAATTCATTGCACTCCAAAACACAACTGTCTTGGGGATCCTAGTAAAGTCATTCAAAAGACATTGCCAACAAAGGAACATGACAATGAGTGAAGTGAGCTCCTCATCTTCTGGGTGAGGAGCTACAGGGCTCTCAATTTTGGTCAACATTTGGTGAGCATTGAATGAGAGGGAAGAAGTGTCTCAATGCTGACCCTCCTAGTCCCTAGAGACATATCCCCAGATTAACTTATTTGTGGCAGAGCTTGGGGAAGGGTGTGCCCCAAAGTCTGACTCGCTCATTGTTCATCTAACTTATTCCATCAGGGCCTGGCTGCAGCTGTATTTTTTCTACAATTGTCTTTGGGATGTTTTTGAGCCTTACTCCTCCTCTCTCTGTCTGTCTCTGGCTCCTTTTCTTCTCTCAGGACATAGGGAGTCTGAACTTGGAAGCCAATGTGACAGCAGATGGAGCCCTGGCCATGGAGAAGGGACTGGCCACACTAAAGAGTGAGATGAGGGAGGTGGAAGGAGAGCTGGCCAGGAAGGAGCTGGAGTTTGACTCGGATATGGATGCAGTGCAGATGGTGAGTGGCTGCTCTTTCCACAGTGATCCCTTTAAAGTTGCTAATATGGAAAATACCCTGTGAAGACATGTTTGTATTTATTTTTCCTCAGGTGATTACAGAAGCCCAGAGAGTTGATACCAGAGCCAAGAATGCTGGAGTCACAATCCAAGACACGCTCAGTGCATTGGATGGCATCCTACACCTAATAGGTCTGTGGAACTCTTGCAGCTCTCCAGCCCCAAGCTCCAGGACTTTGCCCCAAAAGACACTATTCTGAGCCCTGAAGAATAGGAATCTCAACTTTTCTTAAGGACATCTGGAAAATTGCTTTAGCCCCAGGCCTAGATATTTTGGGCAGGTTACTTTACATTTTCCGGGCTCTCTTTACCATTTCTAAAATGGATCACTGACCGCCTATTACACATAGAGGTGGAGGTCTGTGGGTCAAAGAACTGGGTGTGCTCCAGGAACTTCACAGAAGACTGGACATTTGTGGGTCCAGCTGCTAGAGTCTGGACTTGATCCTGAGAAGCCACTGGGCAGTTTTAAGCAGGGGAATAACATTATCATTATCTGTTTTGGAAAGATGACAAGGTCAGCTGAATGGAGAAGAGTTGGAAAGAGGTTACACAGAAGGCAGTGGAGCTCAAGTTGGGAGTCTAAGGCAAAGAAGTGATGAAGGGAAGATGTGGAGGGTGATTCTCCCCTTCTGTGACGTCAAGGATCACTGTCTGATTTTTTGGTCAATTCCTCCCCAATCCAAAGTTATACCTTGATATGACCAACTGTGGAAACTTGAGTTGCCTAGGCAGATGACCCAGAAGAAGGTCCATGAGATACTGCAAAAATTTAGGATGAAATAGATTTGATAGCAGAGTGTGACAGGGATCCAGGTTTTTCCACACAGTCACTCCCCAAAGAAAATAGATATTAATTACAATTTTGAATTTAGATAGAGCTGCTGTCAAACCCTCATTTGGCCTGTTTAATTAACTTGGAATGCAATAGATGGGGAAGTAGGGATTTGATCACACATTCCAGTGACATTCAGGAAAAGCTTTAGCTTTGCTTTTCCAGTTCGGCAGAACAACTTTAAAACCTGATTTTTCTGTAGAGACTTATCGTGTCTATGTTGTTATACAAATGGGTCCAATTGTGATCCAGTGAGTCCCTAAGAGTAAAATACACTCTAAGGATTAAAAAAAAAAAATCCCAGTTGAGATTTTAGCAGCATTGTTTGGCGTTCTAAGAATGGTGATGAAGTTAATGGAGCCTTCACAGGGAAAATGAAACTATGGCAGGGAAGGGGAGTGGGCACTATTAAACATTTACTACATGTCACGTAGTGTGCCAGGCATTGTCATGGTAAAATGCCAATGAAGTCTTATAAGAGTCCTTTGAGGGAGGTTATTTTTATTATTTTATTGCACAGGAAATACATTAAGGATGCAGATCACATAATACATTGTGGAGGCAGGGCTCAAACTGAAATCTCTTTGTCTCCAGTATTCCCATTCATTTCTGATAGTTTGTGTCACCTCCCCATGGACGTGGTTATTTTCTTCCCAAGTTTGCTGAACCTTCTGTGCATGTTATAGAACTGCAAATACTTGCATTCTCCCCCGCCCCCAGCAAATGATAGACTCCTAAATGGACGTATTTGTTGTAGTATTGTTTCTACTCTATGCACTCTCTTGAGTCTTGGAACAATAACTGATGAATTGTTCTTAGGTGTAGTAAACTCACATTCAAATACTACCACTGTAGTTCAGACATGTGAGGCAATCTGACCTTGACTTTGAATTGTCCACAGGCTGCTCAAACCTACTAAAGGGTCTAGCCAGGTGCCCTTCCATGCTGATATTGAAATTGTATAGTTTTTAAGTAAAACATACCTTGAACAAGTGTAATTACATTTCACACTGGAAATAAACTGATACCCAGCCAGATTCCCATGGCTTCGAGCCAGAATGAAGTCTTACATCATTTTGTAACAGCTGGAATCCATCTCCCAAATAGCAAAGCATACCTTGGCCTCTATGAACCTTGAAGCTCAGCCAGTTTCTGAAGGCCTTCTAATAGAAACCAGTAAGATATTTCCTAAGGGCGATTCAGAAAGCATATTTGGAGTTGATTCTTATCCCATGGGTGAGCAATGTTAGGTGGGCATCTTGGATAATGCTTAGAACCCTAGCCTCCAGAGAAGGCCTCCAGCCTTTGCTTTTCAGAGCATAATCTACTGACCCTAACCTGAAGGAGAACTCCAAACTTCATATTGCTGAATGATTGAACTAAGGGTCTGGAACTAGGTTGTTCATAGTCCAGTAACTAGGCTAGAGCTCTCAAAACTTTTTCTAGATTATTTCTAATGTAAAATAAGTCTCTTAAATACATGGCATACTATTTTCTCTGAGCAAGTAAAAACAGAAATTTGTTAAGGGTACAGAAGAGCATATGTGTTCTCGGAGATCTACCCAGTTTTTCCATGTTAACATCTTTCTCATTCTGTAAAATAGACCAGCCTGGCAGCGTGGATGAAGAGGGACTGATCCGATTGGAGCAGGAGCTTTTCCGAGCCAAGACCCAGATCAACAGTCAGCTGCGTCCCTTGATGTCAGAACTGGAAGAGAGGGCACGGCGACAGAGGGGTCACCTCCATTTGCTAGAGACAAGCATAGATGGGATTCTGGCTGATGTGAAGAACCTGGAGAACATTAGGGAAAACCTGCCCCCGGGCTGCTACAATACCCAAGCTCTAGAGCAACAGTGAAACCGCAGAGAGACTTCTCAATGGAGGTTCTTCAGATGCAGACTTTAGGGCTCCAGAGCCCTGTCATATAGGTGGGTGGGCTGGGGATAATTGAACATGTTTGATGGGTGTGCTCAGGCCAAATGACCTGATCCCATCCCTGAGACCATGACTAGGTGGATGTCTTACTGTACCTGTGTGGTACTGTTTGCTTCTTGACGCTGGCAATGAGGCAAACAGCACTGGAGGTGAAACTGATCAAGGACCAACTGCCCAAGCAGATGTTGGACTCAGAAGAGTCATAAATGGAGTCCTGGAACATGGACAAGTGCTGCTGGGTTATAGTCAGCTTATTCTTTGAGTAATGTGACTAAAGGAAAAATTTTTTGACTTTGCCCAGGCATAAAATTCTTCTCAGTACCAGGAGAGAGAGAGTGAAATCCCTTGCACTGTGGCCAGTAAAATACTGCTGCTCCCTATTGTTCACAGCAAGCTTCCAGTTGACCAGAGTTCCTCCAACTTACTACCCAGTACATTTCACTTTCAAGCTGGAAGAAGTGAGCAGTGATGGACTGAGAACCTAGAAGGCTGGCCCATTTGGAGCAATGGCTACCTTCGTGCTCTGGGCCTGGGAGTGACACCCTTTCTCCGAACAATGCCATGGCAACTTAGACTGTATTTTAGTTAAAGCATTTCCTCCCAGCAAAAAAAACACTGGGAAGGTATTTACTTATTGGATTTCAAAGTGATAGAAAAATGCGACTTGAGCGTTGAAAAAGGTGAAATTATCTAGAAGATTTATTAGTCCTAATTCAGTCCCTATTTTCAAACACTAAAAATTATATGAATTTATGTACTTTATCTTCTCTCTCTCTCTAAAAGGGAGAATCCATCCTTCCATCCATCCTTCCAACATATATTTATTGAGTCCCTTCTGTGTACTGGAGTTGAGCAGTACAGTACTGATATACTCTCTGCCCTCATAGAGTTGGTTGTCTAGTGAGGAGGACAAACATTAAAATAATAAATTTACACTTACAAATCTTGTTCATCACAAGTGGTATTTATTGCAGTTGCCCACTGGTTTGCAATCACTTTTCTTAACAGAATATGTGTTCCATGACATTCCCATGGGGGCACTTGAGTTAGGACAAAGCTGAAACTTCTCAGCATTCCAGCCGTCCCTCCACCCCTTTCTACAACTGATTGCAACAGGCTGCTGAGTCATGGTAACACCAGTGGGAATTGGTGAAGGAACCAGAGGCAATTCCACCCCAGCTTGGAAGACTTCTGTGCTGCCTCATCCTGTAGTTCCTTGCCTTTTCATAGATGTGTTTTTAAGGAAAGAACAATTGGTAGATGGGGAGTGTCAGCTTCTGATTTTTGTAAACTCAGCCTGAGGGTGAAGTCCCAAAACAATGGAAATGAAAAGGCCATGAAAATTCAGTGGGTCCTAGAATCTTCAATTCCTGTTTCTAAGTAGCTCGTCTTGCCCTTTTCCAACCAGGAGAGCACTTTATGAGGTTTAGCCAGGACAATATCCTAAGCATGCAGATTTATTTCTAGAACAACCCAAGCTGGGGGGAGGATACAATTAACATTCTTGTGTTTACATTATTCTTTGTGGTACATATGTCATGTTTTTTAATAAATTAAAATTCAATAACTTAATGCCCTGAATTTGTCCTCTACCCAAGCAGAATCCTTCTGCATTCCTTGTCTTTTCATAGATGTATTTTAAAGTAAAGAATGATTGGTAGATGCTGGGTCAGTCTCTGATTTTATTAAACTCTCAGCCTGAGGTGGAAATATCAAAGGATGGAAATGAAAACGCCACATCTACCCTCCAAATTCTGATTGGTATGATGACTTTATCTTTTGTGGAAGCAGCTTTACAATCCTATTTTGGCATGCTTAATCAGATCTTACAAATTTCTTGTAATTAATGTCCAGAAAAAAATACATGTATATACATATACACAGATATATGTGTGTGTGTATATGTGTGTGTGTGTGTGTATTAGAATAGATTAATTGCTATGTCACAAAGACTTAAAAATATGCAATAACTAAAAACATTGGACTGTTTTTTCTTGGTACCATAATAGATTGGGTGAGTAGCAGATTGGCAGAGTGGCCGGTAGTCATTTCAGGGACTGTCATTTATAACCTTTGACTTCTAAGGTTGCTTTTGGTGGGGTGTGAGAGAAAAGAATATGGGAGGAGACACATGAGATGTCTTTGTGAGCAAGGCCTGGGAGACCTCACATCCCATTTGTCCAAAACTCCATATTATAACCACATCTAACTTGCAAGGGGTCTGGAAGATGTAGTCGCTTAGTGGAAAGCCATTTCTCAGTGACACTATGAAAGGGGAGGCTGCATTGTTGGTGATTGGCTGTCTGTTTTTGGTATAGGATGGTATAGGATTGGACAAGGGCATATTCTAGGGAACCTGGTAAGGGATCCAGTTAGTGAATAATGATGGTACATTCAGTCATTTTTTAAAATTGTTTTATTATTCATATGTGCATACAAGGCTTGGGTCATTTCTCCCCCCTGCCCCCACCCCCTCCCTTACCACCCACTCCATCCCCTCCCTCTCCCCCCCACCCCCTCAATACCCAGCAGAAACTATTTTGCCCTTATTTCTAATTTTGTTGTACAGAGAGTATAAGCAATAATAGGAAGGAACAAGGATTTTTGCTGGTTGAGATAAGGACAGCTATACAGGGAGTTGACTCACATTCATTTCCTGTGCGTGTGTGTTACCTTCTAGGTTAATTCTTTTTGATCTCACCTTTTCTCTAGTTCCTGGTCCCTTTCTCCTATTGGCCTCAGTTGCTTCCAAAGTATCTGCTTTAGTTTCTCTGCATTAAGGGCAACAAATGCTAGCTAATTTTTTAGGTGTCTTACCTATCCTCACCCCTCCCTTGTGTGCTAAAGCTTTTATCATGTGCTCAAAGTCCAATCCCCTTGTTGTGTTTGCCCTTGATCTAATGTCCACATATGAGGGAGAACATAGGATTTTTGGTCTTTTGGGCCAGGCTAACCTCACTCAGAATGATGTTCTCCAATTCCATCCATTTACCAGTGAATGATAACATTTCGTTCTTCTTCATGGCTGCATAAAATTCCATTGTGTATAGATACCACATTTTCTTAATCCATTCGTCAGTGGTGGGGCATCTTGGCTGTTTTCATAACTTGGCTATTGTGAATAGTGCCGCAATAAACATGGGTTTATTGCAGGTGCGTCTGGAGTAACCTGTGTCACAGTCTTTTGGGTAATACGAATGTGACTCCTAAGGAGAGATGGGGAATGAAACTGTGATTCTTGAGACTCCTTTGGAATAGAAATTATTCCCTAATTTCTGAGGACCTGAGAAATTGACCCTTAGAAGAAGGAAGAAAGGAAGAGGATATGGCTTAGAGATAGCTTACCCAGGATTTAGCCTCAGTCTATTGTTAGTTGGTTGCCAGTTGTTAGATACTTTGTCACTGTGACAAATATCTGAGAAAACAACTTAAAAGAAGGAAAGATTCATTTAGGTTTACAGTTTTAGAAATTATTGTCAATGGTCACTTGGCTTGTTTGCTTCTGGGCAAAAATCATCTAAAACAGAATCATCAGGGCAGAGCAGAAATGCTTCCTTCATGACAGCTGGAAAGCAGAGAGAAAGACAGGAAGGGGCCAGGGCAAGATACACCCCTCAAAGACACACCCTCGGTGACCTACTTCCTCCAACTAGGCCCAGCTAAGCTCATTCATCACTTAACTCATCATTGATGAAGTTAGCGCCCTCACGATCAATCACCTCTCAATAGTATTACCAGCTGGAAACAAGTCTTCAAACATGAGCCTTTTGCAGGGAACACTTCACATGCAAACCACAACAACAGTCTTGATCTGACCCTGTCAAGTTTAAACAGACATCCCTTCTGATTTCTTGTCAGGTTTTAATTTGTGGTGAAAACTTTTTTATTTCTCCTCTGAGAGTTTTCTGATTAACTGTGCTGTTGGGAGGCTATTGTACACATCATCATCATCTACCTTGACTCATACATAGTAGATGAGAAAGTTTTAGAAATGAAACTGCCCATAGGCTGTACCTTCTTAGCAGACATTTTTCCAATCTTACCCCAGGATGTGGTTTCTTTCCAGTACTCTTGGGAGGCTGGAGGAAAAGAGTAAGGAAGATACTCAGGGCTGTCTAATGTTTGGAACAAGTGTCAAGGACCAGGGATATGTTTATCACGTCTTCTTTTAATGTTTTGTGTGGTTATAGGAATGTTATGTATTCTTGCTGTGGTTTAATTTTCCCATTTGGAAAATACAGAGTAGAAATTTTCTACTTTCTTGACACTATTAGGAACATGGAAAGTCTTAGGAAATTTCAAGTTGTGAAACTTATTTATGGATCATAAGGAAAGAAAGGTATGTGTATATGAATGTTAATTCATATTTAGTGCATGTATTTTAGGTTAGTATAAGTTAGCAAATTAAAATAGTGTTTATACTCAGTTTTAAACAAATGCTCATCATTACGTACTCTTGGGGCAGAAAAAAGCAGTGTTTACCTCTGTGAATAAAACAGCAATTACAAAGTCAAGCAATCAATTTACAAGGTATATCAAACATCATTACGATGAGCCACAAAACCCGATGGACATACACAAAGTTGGCTAATCTCAATTTTAAGAAAAAAAAAAAACTAAGAAGCTAAAGAATGAAAATGATTTGGAAAAAAAAGCAGTAAATGACTCTGACAAGTATGTAACCCTTAAACGAACTGATTTAATAGGGAACTGCTATTTTGCATGACTTAATAGGGAGCTGCTGTTTTGTATAACTGACAATTGGGTAATGACAATCAACATTTAGACCTAAGCCAACCAGGATGTGTAACTAAAGATGAAATAAGAATACTCACAGCAGAACTGAACAATTAACAAATCACTAATTTTTGCTTGTTTACATTGCCAATACAAATTGTGAATTTGTCACTTTCTGTCTTGGTTAAGATCTTTCATGCTAAAAAGTTACTTAGTGGCAATAAAAACTTATTTATTCAAGTTTTTAATTTTTTCAAATATATTTTAATTTCATAAGGTATTAATTTCATTGAAGAGCCAAAATTAACCAATATTAGGCTATGTGGGCTAGTCAGGCTCTAAGATTTAATTTTCTTAAACCGAGAAATTTTAGGCACATTTTACAAATTTGCTAATTATCCTCTCCTTGTAATCCTTGTGTGTGGTTGTGTATACTTTTTTTTTAGATACTCTCATTGTGTACCCCAGGTTGGCCTCAAACTTGCCATCCTCCTACCTTAGAGCCTCCCAAATGCTAGGATTACAGGTGTGCACCATATATATCTAGATATATATCTAGATATATGTACTTTTATAACATACATGTGTCATCAGCTGGACCAGGCAGAAAATTTATTTTAAGCACATTTTTACAATTCTTGTCTCCTGTCAAGATTAAGAAGAAAAAACAATTATTTCTCAGAGCAGGTTCTAGACAAAGACACAAGACTCCAGTAGCATTGTCTTATTTATTAACATAATTGAAACATTTTGCTGATAAAACTTTTGTCCATGACTATTCTAGCAACAAAATTTTGCTCAAAATATTTCACTGTGAAATGGTATTGCAACTTGAATGTAGTTTTTAATTAATGAATTGATTTCCATAAAGCAAGTTTTACTCTTCAAATGGCAGATTAGATGACCGAAAAATGATTAAAAAAAAGCTTCCTCCCCCCCCCATATCAACCCTCAAGACCACAAGGATCAAGCTGAGCTCTGGACCCTGGGACTCGACTGAAGGTGGAGGGAAAGTGCCGTAACTCATTCCTAACTAAGTGGAACAGGCTAATAGGACACGCCAAACTTGCATGACTAAGAAACCACGTGAAGAGTCAAGCTTACTGGGCAGCTATAGGAAGATGAAGACTGGATGAATTTGCTAATTCATCATCATGAATTAGTGTATTCATCCTCCTGACCACAGTGCTATTTCTAAGGTGTCCTAATTATATGAGCTACAAAATCAGTCCCTGTTTCCATCCATCCATCTTACCTGTTGCCTCTCCTGTAACCTTGGGAGAGACCCTGAGCATTTTATAGTCTACTGTTTTATTTCTGCATTACTTTTTTGATGAAAAAAAATACATACACACAACAACATTCCTCTCTCCCTTAGTTCCTTAAAAGTGTGTGTGTCCCAGTTTGGGGAGATAGATTTGGGCTTCCTATAATTCTCTGCCTTTTACTGTAGTTCAATTATGAAGTCTTACTTTGTACTTAATTTGAACATCAAGTTCTTTAGTTCTTTCTGAGAAGCTGGAGCTTGAGAATAGAGCACGTGGGGGAAAGGCTGGCCAAGCTGAGACAGGAAGATGGGCGTTTCTAGAAGTTCTAGCTCTGGTTTCAGGCACTTCAGTAAGAGACTTTCCTCTCTGGTCCCATGTACATTCAAGGAAAATGAAAGCCAGAAGACCCAGAGGCTCCCTGGGGTTAGGGTGTGTGTGACTGAGGTACCTACCAGCAACACAGAGCACCCCCCAGAGAACCATTCCTTGAGGGGAGAGTCACCAACACAGTTTCCCTCCTGCCTGTTTTTATATCAGCCACCTTCAGAAAAATGGAAGGGACTTTTAAAAAGAATTATTGGCAATAGGAAATGAAGCTCCAGACCCCTTCTGACATGATTATTCCAGTCCATGCCAGTCTTGGGTTGGCCTTTGTGGGAAAAAATAGGACTCCAGAGGGAAGTCAGGACCTAGAGGTTACCCTGTTGTCACCTGGGGCACCATTTAAAACTCTGATTAATCTTTCTGGTGTTTGGCTGTGGGCTGGGTCACAGTTATAACATCCTGCTCTTGACTAGGAGAGGTGCCGTGACCTTAGTCCAGCAAAGAAAGAACAGGTCAGTGTGGGAGACAGATGACTCTACCTGAAAGATGACTCATTTTACTTTCATTAAAGCACAGCTATTTTTAACAGAATCCCTGTGATCCACCAAGATATGATCTTCTCCATTTGGTTCTTAGACATCTGCTTGTATTGCACCTGGTCTTTTCCTTAGCTCATCTTTGGCCTGTTACCACCTCAATTCCTTCTGTCCCCTCTGAGGGTGCAGAGCCAGCCTGGTTTCTTCTCATAGGCTGTGGCCCAAATCAGGTTTAACCAGAGTCCTGCAGAGTAACAAAACAGACCAAAGAAACAACCACAAAAATGTAGTCTTTCTCAGGTCTCCTCATGTGTACCCTCATAAACTCTATCCGTAAATTCCAGGTCCTTAAAAACGCCAAGTTTCCCCCAGGAAATTCAGCAACCTGTTTTCCTTTGTTTCAGAGAAACAATATCCTCTTCTTAAGCTCTACACTTGCTGAGTGACACTGAACCAGTCATTTAATCCCATGGATCTCTGCTCCCTCACTTTTAAAGGAAAGCATTGGACTAACTGAGCTCTGAAGTTTTTTCATTCCATGAATCTTAGCCAAACACTGGGACCCAAAATCAAGATCTTCCTTCCTTCCTTTCTCTAAAGAGTGTTTCTATAATCTGTGAGACTACACTAATGGTGGGTGCTACTCTACCGTGCTCTTCTGTTGGATCCACATCCCTTTCCTGGAGATAACCAAAGGAGTTTGCAGATGTCAAATGTGTGAGACCGGGGTCATAGCTCATATTAGATATTTTTTTAATTTTTATTTTATTCATATGTGCATACAATGTTTGGGTCATTTCTCCCCCCTTCTCATATCAGATTTTGATAAAAGTATCCTAATACTTGGGAACCATTCCTCAGGGACAATCAGAAACCCAAGAGCCTGAGACCAGATGGGAGACATATAGCACAAGAGAGTAATTTTCTGTTAGCTCTCCAAGCAGGTCATGAGTTAGGCATTAACAACCAGAACAGAATCTATCGAAACCATCTCTGGAGGCAAAGAGGAGGGGAGGGAATTAGGGAGAAATGGGGTGAAATGGCTCAGTGGCTCTGACCCCTCCATGAGCTCTGTTTTGTGAACCTGCTCCAGTGTCAGGCAGGCTTTCTCAGGAGACTCCTGTTGCTACTGGGCCCAGAAGGAGATCTGACCAGGTACAGGAACCAGGGTAACTGCTTTTGAAGAAGAAATGGGCTTCAGGCCCCTCCTGAGTAACCTCAGCTGGAGTGGATGAGCATCATTAACTCCCCATGGGATGCACATTGCTTTCGCCTACATCATCCTGGACTTGCATTATGATAGACAATTCCCAGCCAAATGGGCAATAAATAAATCTAATTAGCACAGATCTCTAGGGTTGAATAAATTCCTAGCATTTTTTCAAAACAAAATGCCTGGATTATCAGGATTTGGCCTTGCCTCTGATTCTTCTCAGGTTCCAGAAAACATCTAAGCCCCTCTTCTAAGGGCTGAGGAGCCTTGGAAATGCAGGGGATGGCAGGGAATCGACATGGTGCCATTGACGAAGCCACATAAGTTGGTGTATGGATGTCACCAGGAAAGGAGGACAGACTGGCTCTGTGTGATCATAGGAACAGAGCGTTGAGAAAATGGTCTTCTCAAACTAAGGAAATGGATTTAAATACTGAGAAACCCTACTATTCACAGACTTGCCTCCGGGGTTTCAGAACCTGAAAGTTTCCACTCCCGACCAAAGGTTGCTGCTGCTGCTACTTTGTGTGTGTGTGTGTGTGTGTGCACACACGTGTGTGTGTGTGTGTGTGTGTGTGTGTGTGTGTTGCAGAAGTGGCTCAGCCTTGCCTGGGTGTGGCCCTCACACACTTTCTGAGTGCTGAGACTGGCTACAGTGTCCTATCAGAAGGGAAGTAATACCGCAAGTGCATTAGGACTATCAACAGAAAGAACCATAGACTGATTTCATCCAAGTCTTACAAGAAATGAACAAAGAAAAATAAAAGGAAAAAAGAAAGAAAGAAAAATAGCCCTTTGTGGTAAAGGGCATGCTGAGAAGGCAAGAGCCAGGGCCACCTCCCCAGAGCATGCTGGGAGACAGACACCAGTACATCTCCAAGGACTGTACTTGCCCCATCTCCCACCCCTATTCCCTCACCCGCCCCAACCCAGAGACCAGAGGAAAGTTTGTCCAAAGATGACTGTGGAGTAGGGAATGCCATGGTTTGTTGCAGGTCCCCCACACTGTGGGGGTCAAGTCAGCCAGTGAGGAGAAGAGTCAAAATGAAGAGCTGGAGAAACAGAGGCAGGAGAAAACCTGGGAGACTGACAGAGACCGGAGGGGCCAGTGTGTTGGCAGAGGACTAGGGAGAGTGGAGCAGAGAGCTGTGTGACTGCTAGCCAGAGGCATTGATGTACAACTGGCTCTTGAGGATGTAGTCAATGACCGGCTGGGACAGGTAATCCACGACATGTCCATCCCCATGCTGCAGGGCCAGCCTGCAGAAGAAGAGACAGCAATCACATGGACAACTATGCCTGAAGAAAGTCAGGAGCACTGGTCTGCCCTCTGTCTTTCAGGGAAAAGGCTCAGAGGTGTCTCCCCAACACCCCACTACCACCCCACTACCAGTCTTTGGCCTGAAGATATTAGGAAAGGCCCTCTTGCCTCTCCCCTTCATCCTGGCTCTGCAACTTCCTAGATCAGATACTTTGGGCAAATTATTTAAGCCCTTCTTTTCTTCAGTTTTCTCTTCTGTAAAATAAACGAAATCTTTAATCTGATTAAAGGAGTCATTATGCAAAGCTCTTAGAATAGTGCCAAGCACAGGGTTGGTATATTAATGTGTTAGCTAATCTTTTTTTTTGCGATACTGGAGTTTGAACTCAAGGTCTTCACCTTACACCTTGAGCCACTCCACCAGCCCTTTTAGTGTTAGGTTTTTTGAGATAAGGTCTTGCGAACTATTTGCCTGGGCTGGCTTCAAACCGTGATCCTCCTGATCTCTGCCTCCTGAGTAGCTAGGATTCAGGTGTGAACCACTGGTGCTGGGCTTTTTTTTTTTTTTAAATAGACTTTTTGTGTATATTTAAGGTATATTTATTTTCTTCACTCTGGGTTTCCCTGCACATTGAATGAAAATCATTCTCCCAGAGGGTTCTTATAGTTGACTTCATCTTTTCCTTCCTGCAGGAGCCTTTGGCTGTGAGTCATGGGGAAAGGCACTGACAGGCTTGAAGGACTCCAGTAATAAACTGGTTTCTGTGCAATTTTTCTCCAGCCTTTGGATGGCTGCTTCCTGTTCTTTCCTCACACAGTAGTCATGGGAATGTTAGGCTCCAAGGAGTTATTTGTAAAAATTCATATACCACTCCAAATATCCAGATTCTAAAAGGCACCTGAGCTGGGTGTGGTGGTGCACACCTGTAATCACAGCTACTTGGGGGGTGGAGGCAGGGGGACAGAGAGTTCAAGGCCAGCCTGAGCAAAGTTAGTAAGGCCCTATCTCAAAGGGGTGGGGGGGTGGGCATAGCTCAAGAAACAGAGCACTTGCCTCGTATGTGCAAAGCCCTGGGTTCAATCCCCAGTATCAATAGATAGATAGATAGATAGATAGATAGATGGATAGATAAAGTAAACAGTTCACAGTAAGGGTCCACAATTAAATTCATTCTGTTCTATCCTCAAACCACCAAAGACTAGCTAATGTACTCTCTCCTCTTTTAAAAGTAAAGGACTGGGGACAAATAAATGAGGTCCAAACAGGAGGCTGAGCAGTGAGGCACCAAGTGTCTACTGAATAGAAGGGTTGCCATTGACAACTGGTAAGCTAGCTTGACCAAAGTCTCTCTATAGTCATTTGTCAAACATACCTGCTCTTGGTTGAACTGACAACAGACATGGGATGGTTGACGTCATCCTTCACCACCATGATGTTGTTCTGAGGACAGAGCAGAGACAGTAGGTTGCCAGTCCCCTAGGACTTTCAAAGAAGTGCCACATCACAGAGATACTCCCACAGGGAAAGAGGGACTTACTTTATATTTGCGGAGTATTGAGGAGTGATTCATAATTCGGTCTGTGTCAGCTGCATCCCTGGGAACCACCACAATCCCAAAGTCCCCAACGATCACCTCCATCTGAAGAAGAGAGAGAGAGAGGCTTTTGGTGAAATCTACTGTCCCAACACCCTGCCAAATGAATATTTAACAGCATGGAGCTATCTTTCATTCTTTGGTGTGAAACTTCAACTTGCTTTCTTTGCCCCATCAGTCAGTGACTGTAAGTAACAACCAGGAATAGGGTTGGTAAATTGAGAGGGAGTCTTGGCCAGCATACAGAAGACGCCTAATAAATACTTCTACACTGAATGAATAAATGCATTCTTGCACATTTGGGCAAGGTCTCCCAGTTCCTGAAGCTCCAGTTGAGTCCAAAATGTTGCAGAATAGCATGGATGCCAGGGAGTCCTCAGCCAGTAGACATCCTTCTGGGTGAAATAGGTCCCATGATCCAGTTGGCACACCTCAGCCCTCAGCTGGATGTCATGAGAGACCAACATGCTCCCTCTCCTCTTTCATAGGGCTCACACACACAAGGGCAGCCATGGGTAGAGAAGTGCTTGGGACATATCACTTTGCACGGGCAGTAAAGGGACAGTGATTGCTATTAATGGGGTAACTTCTGAGATCAGCCTCAGAGGGAAGCTTGGGACCTTAATGAGAAATAAAGCCTTCTTTTCAGTGAAAAAATAACTTTTTATTTACTTTTTCTGATTATGGATGCAATACAAGCTTGGAAGATTCATTTAAAAAAGAAAAAGACAGAAATCAATTCCAACCAAACTATCCAGGAACCAGTTAACATGTTAGTGTGCTTCTGTCCAGTGTTTTCCTCTCTACAAGTAGGTTATCTATATCCAAATTAGGATTAGACTGCTAAAGTAGGAATGAGGTTGTAACTCAGTGGTGAGCACTTCCCTACCATGCCTATGGCCCTAGGTTTAATCTCCAACACTGCAAAAACAAAAATGCCCCACAACAACTGCTGAAGTAGTATTTTTTGCATTTAGTGTTATATTGCAGCAGTTTCTCCCATCAATCAAAAAGATTTGAAAGCATAGGTTTTAGCAATCTATGTATTTCATTGTTTATTGTACCATGATATGTTGTAGAAAGTGTACAGTCACTACTGATTTTTTTTTGCAATTGTGCGTAACACTTTGATGAAGATATTTATACATACTACATCTTTTATCACATCTCTGATTATTTGCTTAGGATAAAGAAGCAAAATAATTGGATAAAATGATATGAGCTGGATGTATTTCAAGCTCTTGAGACATTACTAAATTGCTTTCTGGAAATTTGTGCCAATTTTTGTTTTCAAAAAGCTGGAAGTTATGGCACTTAATTGACTTGGATCTAGCATGGGCATATTACCAGTTAGATCTTGCTAATTATGAATCCCAGATGAGGGAAGGGAGGAGGAGGTAGATTGCTTCTAAGCAGTGTTGCTTGTTGAGCAAGATCTGCTTTGGGGTCAAGGGACCCGGATTTTTTTCCCATAATTTTTCAAACAAACCACAGAAACAGACACTATGGAGCACTGTGGCCCATTGTGTACTAGAAGATTTCCATATCAGTGGGATTCCATTTCTAACCTAAGCCCGGTTCATCCAGGATGAGTGTATGTGTGTGATTGTATATCCTTGGAGATTTCCATTCACCTTTATTCTGCTTTTCCTATTGCTTACCACTAGAGCTGAAATTGCAAGTGGAACTCTGAGTTGCTCAAATGAAAGGTTAGTCTTGAGTGCCCCAGGAGGGAAGTGGAAAGCTAGGGCTACACTATCAGAGCCCCCACAGGATCATGCCATTAGGAAGGTACAGAAGATTGTATGACATGGTGTTTAGATCTGATAAATTGGCACCAAGTGCTTTGTCCTCTAGATCAGGATTGTTAGGGGGAAGCAGGGCAGGGAATTGGAGGCTGATCCAGCTACTCTTGCCACACATTTTAAGAATATTGCACAGGGGTTCACTGCTCAGTACCTGACTTCAAATTTGTCTGCACATTAGAACCAGGGGAGGAACATTACAAACCCCAAAGCCCAGCTCACACTCGAGATCAATTAAACCAAAAACTCAGAATGTGATTTAGGCATCAGTAAATTTTTTTTTAAATTCTCAATGTGCAACTGATTTTGACACCCAGTGTCTATATGCTGACCTAAAATTCTGGAGAAATTGGCATGGCAGGGAAAGAGATAGAAAAGAGAAGGGAGGAGAAGAGGGCTTTTGAGAGGAGAAGTGATGACAGAATCCATTCAAACAGGCGTACATGGAGATTCCCTAAACTGCCCCGTTAATGTAGATGTTTCAAGATAATCTGGTGTAGATTGCATAGGATAGGATTTGCTTTCCAATTGATTCTGTACTCTTGAGACATCATTTGATGGATGCTTCATATATGATATGTGTATTAGTGGAGCAATTTAAAGTGAGTGTAGTTAAGAACATGAAAATAATGGCTCAGAGCAGTAGTCAGTCCTCACGGGAGAATTGCCTTGTGGGTGACATCAGTACAGCTGCTGTCTCCACTCAGGGGTTAATGATTTGACACCCAATGAATAACCTTGCCAGGATGCTCAGTGGGTGGCAAGCAGATGGAGACCTTGCTGCCTGAAATGTTTCTCTTTTCTAAAAACAGGTGTCAGACTTGCCCCTGAAATCACAGATGGGGTGAGGGAGAGTCTGGTCACCCATGTGACCAGACTCACAGTTTTAGCAGCATCTCTGCGAGGCTTCAGGCCAGAAACTGAAGCCCCTCTGTGCTTCTTTAGCCAAACCCTAGTGCATGGGCTTGATTTTCATGCCAGACGGTGTGTGGGTAAAGGAAGCACAAGGTACTAGAGTTGGTGAATGTGCCTCATTACCCATCTCCTTCTAGGGCTTAGCTGTCCATCACACCCCCATCTCTCTGTCTTCAGGCCTCCAGACACCACCCTGGTTGTCCTCCTATTTTTCTGGCTGCTTCTTTTTGGTCTTATGTTGACCTCCTCTCTCTGACCTTGAATCGTTTGATTCTACCAGGCTTTAGTCCTTAGACCTCTTTTCTTTTCTGTCTACACTCACACCCTAATGATTTCATTCCATTTCAAAGCTTTAAGGGCACACCAAAGGCTCTCAAATTAATTTCCACTGTAGATATCTTTCTTAAACTTTAAATTCAGCATTAGCTGCCCTATTAACATGAGCACTTGGACAGGCATCTTCAACTTAATACATCCATGAGTCTCTGGACTTGCTAACATAAATGGATAAATATTCCCAGAGAAATGTTTTTCCTATAGTCTTTTTCACTTCTTACAATTGCTCAGAGCAAAAGCCTTGACATTTTCCTTGTTTTCTCTCCTTGTCTCACATTCTACATTCAGCCCATAATTCTATCTCCAGAACAAATGTAAGACTGTACTCATTTCTCACTTCTTCCCTAGTCCAGGTCTCTCCTGGTAGGCTGAATAATGGCCCCCAAAGACACCCAGGTCCTAATTCCTGAAAACTATTACTCTTACCTTAAATGGCAAAAGAGAATTTGCAGATGTGATTAAGCTAAAGATCTCTGGATTGTCCTGTGTTATCTGGACAGGATCTAAATGTAGTAACAAGTGTCCCTAGAAGAGGGTGGCAGGATGGAGGGGGGAATTGATTTGGAAGAAAGAAGATATGAAATGGAGCAAAGAGAGAGTGAAGATGCTACACCGTTGGCCTTGAAGGTAGAGGAAGGGTCCAGGAGGTCAGAAATGCAACAAATACAGCTCTACACATCTGGAAAAGTCAAGTAGCAGGTTCTTTCCTAGAACTTCTGAAAGGAAACCAACCCTGCCAACATCAGGCTTTGTCCAAAGAAACCTGTTTCATACTTCTGGCTTCCAGAACTGTAAGAGTATAAATACGCATTGTGTTAAACCACAAGTTTTCAGCAGCAAGACATTAATTCACATCCCTCACATCTCACTTGAGTTCCTTTGGTCTACCTGCTATTCTCTTGCCTTTTTCAGTGTATTTTCAACATCCAGATCAATAATGCCAAAATATAAATCGAATTGCATTGCTCCTTGGCTTAGACTCTTTCACTTAGATGTCACCTGCTTGGTGAGAACTTTTCCATCATACTATTCAAACTTGCAACACTTGGGCACCTGTACCGTAGGCCTAAATTCTCTGATAAAAAGAGAGGCAAGAAGAAAGAGCTTGATCCATTTTCTAAGAAAGATTGGTATGATGTGAAATCACTGACAATGTTTGACACAGAAATATTGGAAAACACCACTCATAAGGACTCAGGAACTGAAATTGCAATGTGATGGGTTGTGAGCCTTACTAATCAGCAGAATGGTGAAGTTGCATTTAGAAAATCCAATCTAATTATTGAGGATGTTTATGGAAAAAAACTGCATGGATCTTCCTGGGGGAAAAATATGCTTCATGGTCAAAAAATGGTGGACTATGATTGCAGCTTATGTTCACGTAAAACGATGGTAGTTATTTGCTTTATGGGTGCTATGCGCGTTTTAATTAAAAATGTAATAATCAGATAGGAGAGGCCTCTTTTTCTCAGCACCAACAGGCCTAGCAGATCCAGAAGAAAATGATGAAAATCATGATCAGAGAGATGCAGACAAATGACTTGAAAGAAGTGGTCAATAAACTGATTTTTGACAGCATTGCACCTCCTGTTACCTGAAGAGATTTCTGCGGGTCTTGGCTTGGAGGTGGGGAAGTGGGAGGAGTAAGTAGTCAACACAGCAGAGCAGTTCTGCTTGTTAAATCTCATTTCTGATGGGGCCAATGTGCCCTCACACTGCTAGGCCCCGGTGACAGGATCTGGGCACAGTCTTTTCCCACCAGCAGCACACAATGGTCCTCTCAGTTTAGCCCTGGCCTGTGTCATTCCTGGGGTGGGGTGTCTGTCTGTCTGTTTGTCTGTGTGTGTGTGTGTGTGTATCTTTAACATTCATCCTGCCTCCACTTCCTGCTCACAGGCACAGCTTTGATCACATCTTTTCATCTTCTCCCCAGAGAGTAAGGATGGGGAGGAGAGAGGAAGTGGGAAGAGGCAGACTTTGCTTCCCCAA